ATGCTTCTTTCTAGAAGGAAACAAATATACCTCATAGTAAATATAAAAACGATAAAATTTTATCATTATTGGTAATATAAATATAAAACAAAGACTTAACTATAGCGTTGTTAGGGACTCGCATTGAGGATATAAATTTCAATTAATTCCCAAAACGACTGTATAAGTAATTGTAAAGTGTAAACTTGGTAGCTTGCATTATTAATTACTTTGGTCTAGCAGGGCATAGACGACTGTATTGTGGCCCTTAATATTAGTAGTACACAATATAATATATACTTTTTTCACACAAACCAACTTTTTTTTTTTTTTTTTTTTTTTTTACATCATCATCTAGAAGTATAGTAACGCGTCAACATCTAAATAAAACACTTTAACGGTTTTAAACGCGATATATTAGTTAAACTTATTTGAAAATGATTTTTAACTTCCCGACGTTTCGGATGCTTTGCAGCAGCCGTGGTCACGTTAGAGTTAAAAATCATTTTCAAATAAGTTTAACTAATATATTCCGTTTTAAACTGTTAAAGTGTTTTATTTAAATGTGTACTACTCGCGTAAACTATAGACAGCATTTGATAAAACATCTCTTAAATGTGATGTCGTTAACCCAAATGAGGGGACATTCTCGAAGGCGGTTCGATGAATTTCCATGGAATGAAGGGTGTGTCACTTTCACCTGACGGATTTGTTGCTATCAGACAATATTGGTCGTAAGGCCGTCTATTAACGAAGTAGATGTGTAGAATTTGTGAGAACCCTTTTTCTGTATGTGTGGCATTGGCATGTCAGTGTCTGTTTCACGAGTCGATTATATTAACAGACAAGTAGGCTATGCTTCTCGTATGAGAAAATAGATTTATTTTGTTTATTAATTCATTTATTTTCAAACATAGATTGTCATTGCATTGAAGGTATATTCAAAAAGTAATTCTCGCCACGCAGCACTAAATATAATATAAAATTATTTAATTATATAGATAGAATTGTGGCACAGTAGCTCAATTGGTTATAACATGAAATGCTGTTGCATGAAATGATGAATTTTTAATTTATATAAAGTCGTCACGTGTTAAAAATATTAAAGTTCTCAAAATATCACTAAACAATGTCATATTAAGTTTTACAAATATTATGCGTTTAAAACCGTTTTATGTACTGTGTACCAGTTGCATAAGCAACATTACCCAACTGATAGCCCCTGTGACCACGACTTCAATTTAATTCTCATTTTAAGTATTTCCCTCTAGTGCGTAAATCGCTTAAGGTCAAAATCGCAACGGTCAACGGCTTTTACCAACTTTTACTACGTCTACCTGCTTGTTCCCGCGCTTTTACTTGTCTGAGTTTTCCCTCGTTCAAATGTCGAACTATTTCGTTCTACTTCCGGAAAATCTAACAGGTATATTTGTTTTACTTAATAAAGGTTTTACACCAAAGTTAGCGATTATTGTGGTACATTATTTTGTTATTGGCTTTAAAGTTATTGTAGTTTATAATTAATTTTATTATCTATTCTCTTTTATTTTCAAATTCATATGCATGTGTGTTTTATAAAAAAATATTAAATTTAAGTTGATTATATTGGTATGGTCGTAACTTCAAGTACAGCCTCTGTAAAAAATTTTAAGATAATTTAATAACTATATAAAAAAATTATGTATATAAAGCAATTATTAAGTAGTTATACTTTCTTATTCTTTGCGACTTACTTCGTAATTCACACAAGGATTAATTAAGCAGACCCACATTCTAGATAATAATAACTAAGTATAAATGTGATAATAAGAAAATCTTTTTGATAAATAGTACGATAAGTAGTAAGTACAGGGTCGCAATTCTTACATCGATCTTACTTAGTCAATTGCTGATAAATAGTACCCGTGACATATTTTTTTTTGTTTGTCCCTCAGCTTTAACCTTTAAACGAGTCTTAAAGATCGGCACTGTTTCGTGTAATGAGAGCGTGAATAAGTGCATCTTTCTTCCCCGAAGCCGCGCACGATGAATCGTATATAGGTTCGTCTTGTCGATGAATGAAAAGACCATGACCTAATTCTGCCTCACTTTTACCGCACGTCATAACTTTCTACGGCATAGATTAATGAAAGTGACAGATAAAACCAAAAGTGCTGGTCTGAAGGCCAGCGACCTGGACTAAGAAGGCCAGAGAAAGCAGTGAAAGTTTGGTCTTGACATTCTCCTGGGACTTTTTGGATAAGTGTCCGATTGAAGACCTTAAGTGCTTGCGATAAGGCGCCGCCGTTGTAGGTCAGTTAACATTTGATGGAAGATTTTCAGGTTTTTTTCCTGAGAACTATTAACGAGGTCAATTTTAGTAAACACTTGATGTTTTGGTGATCTGTGATACTTTCAGTGAAAGTGGTTGAATTGTTGGGTGATGATTGGAACATAAGTGGATCGCGACCTAGACGGTAGACAGAAAGATCTAGGGCATACGAATTGTCTGCCCAACGTACTTTTCGCTATGCAATAATAAAGTAAGTATCGTCTGTATATTAATAAAACACTCATCACACTTTGAAATCTGGCATTGTTTGCAACACACACACAGGCCAATGTTTTTTAGCCTATAGCCTTCTTCGATAACTGCTCTAACCAACACAAAAATAATTTTTAAATGCGAACCTGTAGTTCATGAGATTAGCGCGTTCAAAAAAACAAACAACAACTAGCTCTGCCAGTGACTTCGTCCGCGAGAATCATTATTTTGGGCTTCCAAATTTGTTTTAGCAAACCCCGTCATCTTTATAAACTTAAGCTGTTAGCCACGAAGTCGATCGCGGCCCATCCCGTCGTTCTTGCAATTTAATCTCAAAAGATAGGCATATAGCGACACTGACTTTTTTTAGATTATTTAAAGAGGAATCATTCTTTCATACATATTTTTTTGGTATCTTGAACCGTGTTTACAACGCCTCGGAAACACATAATGATGAAAAATTTTATTCGCATGTATTTTAGCCTATAGCCTTCCTCGATAACTACTCTAACCAACACAAAAATATTTTTTTTAGTTCGAACCCGTAGTTCCTGAGATTAGGGCGCTCAAACAAACAAACAAACTCTTCAGCTTTATATATCAGTAAAGATATTTCACATTTTAAACTGTTGCAAATATTTCATTATATTTAGTGTTTTTAATGGTGATTTATTAAATAGTTTTAATAAACTAGTTTTTTATTGTAATCCAAATATTCTCTGTAAAAGAGTTTATGAAAACTTAGTTTGAGTTTTTTTGCGATGAAGAGGGTGTTTAAGTTTTAAATCAAGCCTATTAACACAGACATTTAATTTATTCTAGTGCATTTAAATAAATTGAAATATTATTATTATATTATAAGTCAAACACAAGGTCAGTAATCTTTTATACTTAATAATAAAGGCGTAGAAAGAACGAGAAGTACTGGCAAGAAACTCGCTGCCACTCTTTATCGCCGAGTTTCATTTTACATTTTAGTATTACATATTATTTTAACAGAAATGCACAAATACTCAAAATAAAAAACTAGGCAGGTCCAGTTCAAGCAATGCATAGTTGATAACCACGTATTGTAATCCACGAGTCGTGAATTTGCATTCCCACTAATTTCAGCATATTGGTATCTTTTAATTTTGCTAATTCTATGGACAATAAAAAGATGGTAATAACATAACCTGTGTCACTCATCAGTCTCTGGATTCCGAATACCCATAGACAACATTGATCTACAAAGCATCCTCAATAAACAGGACTAGGACATTTCAGACAAATATTGATTGTATGTTTATCGAATAGTACATATTTAAATAAAACATTTTTAACGGTTCATACGAGCAGTCTATAGTTAAAATAAATTGTAAATGAGTCAACTAAGTATAATACAAAGTACAACAGATTAGAGAACCGATATACAATTCTTCTTCTGTTTGTGAGTCATAGCTACAATAGTGCGGTCACTATGAAGTCGTTTGAGCAGTGAAAGTGTTTGCAGAAAGTAGTTGAAACCGCCGAGTTTTCTCATCAAACAAGACAATGCACTTTGTCTATGACTATGTACTTGGTGATCGGCAATATTAGCAGTGTAGGCAGCAGGCGAGGCAAAACTTAGGAGGATGAATAAATAAATAAAACATTTTTTGCTAACTTTAAAACACGAAATGTATTTGTTAAACTTATTTACAACTATTTGAAAACTAAGTTCTACCCGTGACTGCAGCTGCTGCCAAGCATACGAATCATAAAATATTTTGTAAATAAGTTTAAAGGACGGACTTACCGACTTACTTATTGACAATTTATTTTTACCACGGCGCGACGTTTCGACTGCTATGCAGCAGCCGTAGTCATGGGGAGTCTGAAGGTGGACATTCTTTCTAATGTCAAAGTCCAATCTAGTTAGCGCCTTAGCAGTTATAAAATTGTAAATATTTAATCACGAAATATAATATTAGTTCACGTAGAATATTTACGTGAAAATACAGGATTTGGTATTTCTATTCCAAAACTGACGATCAGATTTTGATGAATTTTAACTCGGTCTAATTAACGCAACTGAATGGCCGGCACACCTTGAGTCAGGGTCGGTCTTAAGTACGAGAAATCCCGAATTTGAGTCCCGGGGAATCATAAAGGTGAATGTTACGTACCCAAATAGTGAACTTTGATTTCACATTACATCTCTAAGTACCAGGCATCTTCTTAGCATTAAAACGCTAAAGAAACACAAAATTTGCCAATATACTTTTAAAATAATCTTAATAGTGGGAAATAGAAATGAAACAGGTAGATACCACCCACTTACACATTCACTTAAATAAATGGAGAAAATTATTTACTCAACAAGTTCATTGACCGCTGTCTGACCGACGCTTAAAGTACGTTCATTCATAAATATGAAAGTATCGTAAACATAACATCGCCCTGTTTTCTATTAGGCATTAATATTGGCTTCGAACGACGAAAACTGGAATGTCCATACAATATACAATTTGACGTGTCATCTGTCATCACAAATATGGCGGTTTAGCAGCGCTGTGACCTGAGACATACAGTATAAACTTATTTATTAATTAATTCGATACAAATTTCAATGTCAATGTCCACGCCGTAATAGGTGGGGCTCAAATTAACACTGAACTCGAAAACTCAAAAAATCTTACATATTACCTCACTAAAACTATGACTTATTTCTATTAAATACAAATATTCTTTATTATCACAAAACATATAAATAAATAAAAATTAAGGACAAACAGCGGCTATATGTCTATGTGTATGGCTGTTTGTCCTTAATAGAAGTTAAATAAAATAAATAAATAAAAAATTAAATATATCTGAATCAGCTGAAGTTATCTCTTCCCAGCAACCGCGGTGAAATAATGAAACTAGGTTAGTCAATCTTAAGATTGATTATTAAAGTAACTTCAAAGAATAATAATAATATATTATGTTTCTAAATATGCCTACGCAGATCAGTTTTAAGCACGATATGTGTTTAACGCATTGTAAAAAATGGTTCAAATCCGTCTCAAAATATGGAAAAATTGCCTCGGTCAGGGTGGTTACAGAAGTCTAAGAAGAGTACTCGCCTTAAATTGTATCGTGTCTATGTTTCTGTCCCATACCCAAATAGCAAATAAGGGTTCTTCTTCTTCTTTCAGGACCTCGCCTTTACTGGAATTAGGAAGTTAACTCTTGAAAGCGCTAGTTGTTTTTTGGGCAAGATGTTGACGACTTCTTCCTCGTACCAGCTCGTCTTCTGCCGTAGATTTTGCACGTCATGAACTGAAGGAGATGTTCAGATTCTGTTAATCAGGCTTTGCTTTTTCAAATTGGTTTCTTAATCTCTCTTCTATTAAATTAAACGATTATAAGAAAGCCAGATAACATTGTCTCTGAAAGTATATCATAAAATTAATCTACATATTGTTATATTCAAAATTTATGGGGACACTATAAAAGTAGTTAAAAAGTTGTGCGGTTGGTCTATAAATCGGTCCTTATACTTTGTATCTCTGCACAGATTATGAAAACCAGCTTCCAGTCAGTTGGCTATCGTTAATCGGTTTACAGTGAATTAGCTAAGTTAATCCTAAGATACAGATCGCTGGTCGAGCCGTGCATTGATTGGCTTTTTAACGCCAAAAGTTGTGTGGAAACTGAAGATGTGCCTATTTATATATTAAGAAATATTATATTATTTCAATCCTTGTAGTTTTTAAGTTAGTTAGTCCCCTCCAAAGTTCATAAAAAGCTTACGATTACTTTCATTTTAAATGAAAAGTCATTTTCAGTATTTTTGATTTTTTGGCAATCCATTAAAACCAAAAAGAAACAGGGTTCTCTTAACAACCAACGTTATTCAAAACAAAACAAATGTTCAATATTTTCACCATATTTAATTTATAATATCCATAAGTAACTTAAAGTGATAGAGATATCAATAAGTAAATCCAAAAATAGTATTTATGTCTCCTATAAACTTCAACTTACTTGCTCAGTATTGTATATTTTTTTAGCTTGTCCTTATTAACAACTCAAGAATTTATAATGCAAATATCAAATGCAACGAAATGTATTTATTACCCAAGTTCATCAAAGTACACACTCTTTAAAAGCTTGCCAAGACTAACGCCTTCCGCAGAAAGTTCACTTCCTACATCTCTTGCTTTCTCATCTGACGGCATTGATCTTAAAATTCGAGCGCTCCGCGACCGTGCTAAAATTCGTTACTGTAGTTTCATGCACATGGCAACACAGGTTCATTGAACCCATACGTCTAATTCACGAGCAATTAATTGAATCTTAATCAAAAGCGATTCTCTCGTTTCCGCGGTGGCCAATAAAATCTTTAATACTGATTTATTGTCCATCCTTCAGGTTTTAATATTTTATTTGTATGACATGTTGATGTAACAGGTATATTGACCCGAGATTATTTTTGATTTGTGTTTTGTTTGGAATACTAAAATTACCTGCATCTTAAGAGCTGTGATCAGAAATCATTTTAAGAGATTTATAAGATTTATCAATAGACAGAAAAAAATCAAGATTGATATAGGATTTCTGATATGAATCTGCCACAAAGATTCACTATTATTAGCGACTGAAGACAAAGCTACTACAGTACATTTATTTATTATATTTGGCATATCAAGTGGTAGTAGAACCGAAGAACTGCCTTAATATTAAACATTTAGTTAGGGTTTAAAATTACAATAAAAATACAATAGTCAAAATGAATACGTCTTCCAAAACCTAACTTGCCCTTAGTCGTCAATTAGAGAGACGTTAGCTATCGCATGCTACTACTATGTTCATAGTACATAGTTCGCTCTTAGATATAAATAACCAGGCGCACAACAGACACAGGTGGTTCAAGCTATGTGAACCCACCGGCGCGATGTGACCGCGAAATTATTTTCAAGACTACACCAACCTTAAACACCCACACATGCACAAGAGTCGTATACATACACTCGTCTCACTTCACTTATGTCATTGTAGGAGTACTCGTGAGAAACTTGACGCTGTATTCTAAAACGGCTCATATTCATAACACCGACAATCAATTATCGACTCTAATGGCTTATTTATGTCGCTTACAGTTGTTTATAGCGTTAACTGCGCTTAATTCATTGGTCGCGGATGCTGTATAATATGGTAAAGTCGCTATCTCTTCGCAATATCCGCGAACGGAGGTACGTTCAACTTTTAGCCCAGTAAACTCTGAAGGTTCGTTCACCCACTGCTTGTCAACTGACTATACGTCAGAATGGGATAGTGATTAAAACAGATAGCGCTGTCTCGCTCTGGCTTTATGTTAGTTTAGGAAGTTTTTATTAAGTGTTTGGCAACCGAAATGGTTAACCTCCATTCTCATTATGCTAGCTTGGTAGTTTTGACGCTCCACGTTTGTTATATCGATGGATACGTCCCGCGAATTAGTCGATAAAATTAACTCCACTCTAGTATATTTAATTTTGTGCAGGGAATAAATAAATATTAAGTCAAATTGTTTATTTATTAAACAAACTTTAAATTGTATTTACTATTGTGTTGTAACTTTATTATTAGCTAACATTAATTTAATATTAGCTAACCTTTGAATTAAAAACTCTTCTTAAGCTTTAAACCGCGAAATATTTTAATATAATATAATATAACTTATTTTAATTACGAGCCGACCGACGTTTTGTATAGTTTGTAGCAGCTGTTCTTTGAAATTCTTCTAAAAACTTAAATAAAATATTTAGATTCAGTTCTTACTCATCATTACAATATTATTTAGTAAATTATATTGAAAAATTTTTTGATTGATTTTAAACCGTTATAGATTTAAATAGATATATTTCACATACATATTAATTTATTTCATAATTTTGGCTCTAAATATATCTTACAAAGATATATTTATCGAATATAATGATATATCGTAAATACCTAGTTACTATCTTTTTTAAATAATTTATAAGTACATACTAAAGTGACTCCGTAGCTCATCCGTGCAACAGCTCGAAACACTGACGATGCCAGTTTAAGTCCTGCCCGAGTCGAAATTTTTTTTAATTTATTTTCGATTTTTTTAATTTATAAGTAATTAATATCAAAATAGTAATTTAGGGACAAGATTTTGATCGTGTAATATTTAATTAAAACTTGATAATAAAAATTAATTTATGCGAATACTGTTTTTGCATACTTATGAATGTTTCGTGATGTCAATGAATAGAAGAATATGTACAATTTAACTTAGAATCCACAGAAAGTTGCAATAATTAAAATGAGTTTTATTAAATAAATAAGACAAAGGTTGGGACTGAGGCTTAGCTTAGGGGAACAGACAACCTTCAATTAACACTGAAATGCCTCACAAGCGCTGTCGACTAATTTTTACTTGATTTATATCTTACATATTAGGCTAGACATAAAAATCTGCATTAGTGTTACTCGTAGGTGTAAATAACGACGTGCTTATTGCATAAGGATCCCTAAATCGTAAAGAAACTGCACATTGTGACGAACTTACGTGCATATCTATAAAGATTAAATAATAAAACTCTATTCGAATTCTGACTAATCAAAAACCGAAGAGCTCTTGCAAGTTTATAGTTGCCTGGTAACCTTGAAGTAAGTGTTAGACTTTGCTGCTTTCTTCCGGTCATTGCTGTCATTGCTGTCATGGCTGTAGGAATCATGCATGTTCATAGTGTTAACCATATTTCCTGTTTATAGACGAGATTTTTTTATATAATTTTGATGTTTTTACAACTTTATTACAGTGACATCTATGATTAGTCATAAACACTATAGACTATTTTTATTTTACACAAATAATTGTTAACTTAAAAATTAAAAAGGAAATTAGTGAAAATAAACTTATTTTATCAAAAATTAAGGTCTCCTTTTATTTCTTTACTTTTAATTCATGTTTCAAATTTTAATTACTCTCTTCTTATTTTTTTCTCTGCGAATATGAATATTATCTGTACTTATTCTCATGATTTGGAATTTTCTGTCAAGTGTGACAGTAATAAAGCTGTCAGTGTCACCTATATATTTGTGATTTGTGCTTGTGCCGTGTGGATTGTTAAGGCTTATTATTAAAAATGTTTAGCGAAAACTACGATTGTTGCACCAAAATTTTTCTGCTCTCGCTTTTTATAGCGCCAATATTAGCAGAATGGAATACCCAGGATTATATCAGGAGAGAACATTCACTCACAAAACCTTACCAAGGTGAGTGACCTGGGGTTACGACTTGCGACTAATAGTGCAATTTTGGTGTAAAATAAATCTAATTATTCTATTACAGGGAGTGGTATGGCGTTGCCTTACTGGGACTTCTTAGGGAGCACGATTGTTACGTCAAATTATGTCCGTATAACTCCTGATTTACAATCTAAATCTGGTGCCATTTGGAACACACACGTAAGTTCAATATATCTTTAAAGCAAACATTACTCGTCTGTCCAATCTTATAAAATACTTTTAGTAGAAAAATAAATATTACTTGTATGGTTAACTTAATGATGTTAAAAAAGATTGTCCTTTGTTTCTTATTTTTGTTTGCCTTTGTCTAAGTTGAACTTTAACCGTTATATTAAGTTATTTGTGTTTAGTACACACATCTCTATGACTTGCCAGTTCTTAATAGTTTACTTAAGAATCTCTCAATAGGTACTCATGGAAATTGAATATTAATTCTGTCTGATAGCATATTATTAGTAGGAAAGCAAATAACATAATAATATTGAAAAGTGATAAATGGAAACTGTCTGTTTTATTAACTTGTATTAATTTGGCAATGACTGTTTAACCTTGAATTGAATTGTTACAAGGTTGTTTTCTAGATCATTCTGTATAGGAGATATTTGACCTTAAATAGTAAGAGTAAACCTCTTAAAGTGTACCTTTTGTCAGAATATAAAGTTGGACTGTTAAAAATAATTAGTTTTTACATTGATAGCTTTCAGTTACAATGTAGGAATGTATTGATTAGTATTGTAATGTATATGTTATTTATAGATCTTGTCATGAATATAGATTTAAATAAAATAGATAGGTACTAGATTCAAGACTTACCAATGCATTAATCTTTGTGACAGTATCATGAATGGTCAGATTATCATTATAAAATTTCTTTCTTAAGACCATATTACTTTATTATATTATCAGTTTATAATTCCAGAAGATATTTTATATTAAAAATACTAAAAAAGTTATTAATTAATAAACTAGTTTTTTTTATTGAAAACTTTAATATCTTCACCTGTTATTAAATAATGGCTTTATATAAATTAAAAATATATTAGAGATTTTAAAAAAATATGACTTTAACGGCAGTTTAACTGGCATTCACAGCATCTACAGCTTACCATCTCTTGTACATTTACTTTCTTGACCGTGTGCATGTTTTACTCTTCTCGCGCAATGTAATTTCAACTAAATTGGTTAGAAAAGTTTTTTCAAAGTATATAGTTTTTTCTTCCAGCCATGCCAAACGAGAAATTGGGACCTTCAAATACAATTTAAAGTACATGGAAAAGGGAAAGACCTCTTTGGTGATGGTTTTGTCATCTGGTATGTGAAGGATCGTATGCAGCCTGGACCTGTTTTCGGTAGCAAGGATTACTTTAGTGGTCTTGCTATTGTGTTGGATACCTACAGTAACCATAATGGTGCTCATAATGTAAGTTTATAATATATTTTATATATGTTTTTTTAGTTAGATAACATCTAATTTACACAATCAGATTCTTTTGCTGATATAAGTTAGAAGCACTTCTATAAGAGCCTAAATGTGTCATGATAACTGCACTATAAATAATACAATAATTTCTGATACTCATACCTAAATAACTCTGTAATAAGCAAGAATATTATGTATCTTTCCAATTATATTTTAATAATGTCTTATTTAGAAGATAAAAGAAAGTTAACCCAATACATGAAAATACTTATAACCTTAGTACCCCATTAAAGTAAAAAGAATATTGCATCAATTTCAGCACCAGCATCCCTACATCTCGGCTATGATAAACAATGGTAGTCTACACTATGACCACGACAGGGATGGTACACACACACAATTGGCTGGCTGTGAAGCTAAATTTAGGAACTATAATCATGATACTTACATATCAATTATTTATAAGGACGATACACTTATTGGTGAGAAAAATAGATTTTACACTTTTCCTCTATTTGATCTAATTTAATATTTTTTGCAATCCTGTTTATTAAAATGGTGTTATTAAAATAATTGTAGTTTCCACTGACCTGGAAGGAAAGAACGCATGGAAGGAATGCTTTAAAGTGGAAAATGTATTGCTGCCCACCGGTTACTACTTTGGTGCATCAGCTACAACTGGTGATTTAAGTGACAACCATGATATTGTCGCTATTAAGATGTATGAGCTTGACTTATTGGAGTCGGTAAGTATCATTTGTTTGAAACAGGAGGCAAGAGATGTTTACAGAAAGGCTTCATCAGCACTAATTTTTTTAACTTATGTTTCCCATGCATTTATCACAAAATGTACTAATGTTTCTTTAATCGCCTTAACAATGAGCTGGTACAATGAAGTAAACACAGTATGACAAAATAATTACTTCTCTCTTCGGTTTAGCTTTTAGGATTTCTTTATTTAGGTTGTTTGACAGAGATTGTTTATGACCAGTAAGTCTGTCCATTGTCCACCTCATACATCTTCTTTGTGTAATAAAGAGTTAATATATAAATAAATAATAGGAATACAACCTAACAATAATGACCCATATTTATAATTATGTGTTTAAAGGAACGGTTGGATATATAACATAGATATAATATAACAACATACTTTTGTAATATATACAACTAAAAATCATATTTTTTAAATATTTGCCCATCTATGTGTCCTTCACTTTATTTGCTCAATCGTTTGTTAACAGCTTTACTTTGAATAAGCAAACATATCAGGATATTATGACTTGTTCTGCTAACCAACACATGTTATCAATTATTTCTGTACAAGATCCAAAAAGAGCTTCCGTAAAAGATTTAAATTTTAACATGTTGTTATGCATACCAATTTAGGTCCATTGTTTATTAAGACTACTCTATGTATTGTATTCATATTTCATACTATGTAGTTCCATAGCTTTATTGTATATGACTTTTGTTTTTCAGCAAAATAAAGATGAAGATAGATCTAAAATAATACCATCAGCAGTAACATTCGAAGCCCCAAGAGAGAGAATAGAAGACACAAAGCCAGCCATGTCCGGGGTTAAAACCTTTTTATGGATGATGTTTGTCGCCATTATTTTGATAGTGGTAGTAGTCTGTGGAATCATGTGGTACCAGAAACGACAGGAGAACGCGAGAAAACGTCTTTATTGATGGTGTATAAATTTGTGGGTTGCCACATCTTGCGCATGGTGTGATTCATTTTGTGGGGTTGCCCGGGAGGTGGGAATTTATTTATTTTTCTTTGCTGATCTATGCGTGTAGCGATAGCGGTAGCAATTTTGGTGTGTGAAGGTGTTCTAGTCAAAGCTAAGGACTGTATTCTTGTCAAAGGTATTTTGAGACACGACATCAGAATTGCTGCCAATATCTCTGATAACTTAGTATTCAATAATATTTTCTTTTTTTTAATATAAAAAAAAAAACCTTTTACTTTGTTAGAAACTAAACTATACAAAATGCTCCCCTTGTTTTTTTCTTTTCATTATTCAATTAGGGAGTCTAATAATTAGGGTTACTAATGAAATAATAAATGTAATAGGGATCAAATTTAGAAATAAAAATTACAAATGTTTTCCAGCATAGTTATCGCTAGCTATTATAATACGGTAATGGTCGTGTGTTAGCCAATTATTATATTAGAAACCATTTAAGTTCCTGAGTATGATTGTATGTTTTAGTATGTATATTAAAAAGGAAGCATCACAATGTAATTGTAAATCTGAATTGTAGAAAAGTAAAACACACCACAATGACTGGCTCCTAGATTCGTTGCGTATTGCTGATTTATAGTGCCCTAATTTGTAGTATCTGGTTCATAGACAAACCAACCCCAACACATGCAGCAATAATAACTACATATAAACTATTTGATATTATAAAATTGCTCAACACGCCATAGAATTATTCAAATAAGCTTAAAATACACTCAGTATAATAAATATGAATTATCTCATCCATAAGACTTTTACTTGTAAGCAATATTATAAACCGTTTATCTAGTACATAATTATGTATCTATAGACAAATTTTAAGATTATGTTTACTCTGTTGGATACAACATCGTCGTTTTTACGTCGTCAACTTTAGTACATATTATATTTAGTGTTTAAAAAGTCTTACTTATTGTTTGTACGGGGGACTTGGGGTTTAAGACATAAAGACCCTAATTATAATTTCTTTATATAACAAATCTAAACGTAGTACAATGTTTGTAAATCCTAAGATTTTTGTCTTTTATTCTACAATCTGTGCTAGTTAAATGGAGACCTCACGTGGCCACCGGTTTTCTTCCGGGCCTTTGAGAAAGTATGAGATCAAAATTATAGCCCCTTTGTTTTTTATTTATTTTATATACGTAGCATGGTGTTATAAAAAAGTTTTTGTAGCGTATAAAGCTAGGTTTGGTATTGGAAGTATGTAGTTAAATATATTTTGTGTTTGGAAATGAATATGCGTACTTGAAAATGATTCCATCGACCTATTATTAGGGACTGAAAATGGCGGAACATATAATACCTTAGCTTGATTAATATTTTTTTATTAAAAAATATTTAATTTTATTATCAGCACGTTGAATTTATTGATAAGCAATCAATAAGGTCAAGAAATATACATGTGTATAATTTGTTGTTTACATTCAAATAGAAAATAATGTTATTTACTGTGCTAAAAGTAATGGAAAATTAATATTTCCGCCATATAATGTTAATACTGTCACTACTTTGGATTAGCCCTAATATATTTAGTGTGTGATATAATAAATGATTTCTAATCTTTTAATCAACTCTTTTATTTTATATAAAAGCTCTGTTAAAGTTATAAGTTATTACGTACACATAATATTCAATAATACCTTTACTGTAAAGCAAGACCAATGTGTTAGATAATTTACATAAAACTAGTTTGAAAAGGTTACACTGAGATGATTATAATAACATTATTAAAGGTTATAAAATATATATAAAAGGTTGTAAAAATGTAATGATACAACATTAAGTTTCATATGATTTTTGCTACTTTATCATCTGTGGTCGATAATACAACCCACAATCCTTAAAATGTATATTCTATGGACTTAGTCGCGGTCATATTCTATGACCGCGTCGTGCCGTGCCCATTCGTGCCGTAATTCGTAATTGTTTTGTATGTATTTCTGTATAGGGCTGTATTTTTATTCGTCAATTTGTATTTTGTACTAATTCAAATACATGTGATATTGCAGAAGTTAACGAATTGAAGCGAGCATTACATAATACGTACAACAAATAGGTGTCTGAAAAAACACTAAGGAATATTCCAATTTCCAATAGTGGCAGCCGCCTTTGGCCGGTCTGCTTTAATATGGATTTTAAATCATATTTATTTTCTTGGAGTACCAAAAAAGGATTGACGCCGGTCTTTGATATTCGAGCGACCGGTAAGCAACCATTATTGTCAAAAAAATTAATACGAAATTCAATCGCTAACCTTAAATCCGTTGATAAAGTCCTTTCCCAGATAATGTACTTATTGATTTACTTATGTTTTACATATCATGTTAAAATAATCAGTCTCTTGTGTGTTACCTCTTAGCATCTATCTATTGTATTTGGGATGGTGAAAACCCACCAACCTTCAATAAAATACAACTAATAATTTACAATTTGTTTACTTTGCTTTTGTCAACAGGTTTAAAACATCGACAAAGATTTCTGTGTGAAGTCCGTCTAGATGGCTATACTTATGTTGGAGCTGGTAACTCGGTCACAAAGAAGGAGGCACAGAAAAATGCTTCACGTGACTTTATTAATTTCTTGGTTCGGTCTGGCGAATTAACAGCCACAGAGATCCCTGATGATGTACAGGTCAAAGCTGAAGACACTGTGTCTACAGTTGGAGGCAATAACCAAATGTTTCAAACCAAGCCTGTATTTCAAGTATGTATATGTACTGTAAACATACAAAGATTTGTTGACATTTGTTAATGTTACAAAAAAAAATATATACATATGGTTTCACTAGTACATTTCTGGATTTGTATTGTCTAATAAGCAACCTGAATTGCAGGATGGAATGGGCCCTGAAATGATGGGTCCAGCTTATCAAGCATATGGAGGACCAAGCCAAAATTTTACCTACATGGATAGAATGCAACAACAAAAGAATGTTGAAGAGGCAGAGGATCTCGATGTAAATGCTAGTCTTCATGGCAACTGGACAATGGAAAATGCCAAGTCTAAATTACATCAGTTCATACAAGTCAACAGAATTAATGCTGATTACATTTATAAAGCTGTTGGGCCAGATCATACAAGGTTTGATTAATACACACAATTAAAATCATTCCTTATTATTTTAATAGCAAACCTGATTTTACTAGATATTTATTTAAATACATCATGAAAATCAATATGCCATACAACATTTATGAATATACTTTCTGCTATGGTTTTCCTGTAGCCTGTGAAGCAGGCCAATAGGGAATTGGGTAAAAAAGATAGCAGTTTATATTGTAGCAGTGATGGGTAAAAAAAATGGGTGTTTATTAACTGTACTTAATAATTATATGAAGAACAGTAAATAAACACATATTAATGTATATACATATATTTGCTACATCAGTAGGGAATGATGTAGCGTGATATCTTAAAAAAGACCCAAAAATGATGTAGTAATTAGACAGTCAAAAACTTACAGGCAGTGTTGCCCTGAAAATGAGATTTAATTCATTTTGTCACTTGAGAAAGATGTAAAAAGTTCTCAAGTAAATATATTTGGTATATGAAATCATATACCAAATATCTTTGAATTTCATTGCTTCTATATTTCGCATTTTTTAAACTTTAATAAGCCCTTGATTTTTTTTTATTCATTAGCATAGCACCAGTCATGCACTATTTTTGAAAGCACCATTTTCATCTGTGGCTCTGATGTTATGTGTTGTTAAGAGTTGCTTAAAAGATCTACACAATAATTGATACAACCAGATTGACAGTCTTTTGAACAACTCAAAAACCGTAAACATGCAACATGCTTATAAGCCACTGATTATTCATTCTGTTTGAAAAATCAATGGCAAACATAGATATTGAAGTTATGAGAGTGTGACCAGTGTAGAAAATTGTCGCTCAGTGATGAAGTATTTTTAATATTATTGAACAGTTTTAATATATGAAGCAATCTTTGGATAGAGAAACAGAGATTACTTCAGAAATATTTATGTTACCCAAGACAAAATCTTAGTCTCGTTTGAAATAAGCCTGGCTTAAACTAAGAGGAAAAGAACTTCTTCTTCTTTTAATCCAGGGAAAATACAAAAGTTGGTGATCAATTAATTTTATGAGTGCATGTGAATTTAAAACAGGTCCAAATTTATAAGCAATTAAGTTTGTCATAGATATTGTTTTGGGTACAGGTATGCTTATACCAATCAGCTGTAGAGAGCTGGTCACACTCCCAGAAAAAATGTTCCTTCAATTCTCCTTTGGTAAGTATTTTAGTTATTCTTTGTTCTGGTCAAAGGACAGTAGTTTGAAATTCGAATTTAATATTTAGAAGTAAGATTATGAAAAATAATGTGTGTGTGTGTGTGTTGATGTGCACACATGATTTAAGCAATCATGTGTGCGCATCACACACTGGGGCAATTTTTTAAAGTCAGTTGACATAGGTGAAAACACTAAAAGGTACAGTATGTACAAACATATGGCCTTGCTATTAAAATTACTTGTTAAAATAACAAAAACAAAATATAACTGCATGAATTTTGGTTTGTTGAACAAAGTAAAATTTTTAGGCAAATGCATGCACAGAGGTGATTTTCAATGACGGTTCCCTTTTTACATACAATGCAGGCGATAATACAGTAAAGTATAAATTTTCAGGAGTTTCTGCTGCGAAATGACTATATACGTTCGTCAGCTTGGTCGGAATGTGACCGGACGTGAGACAGCATCGAACAAGCAGACTGCAAGCAAGTCTTGCGCATTATCTCTGGTGAGGCAACTATACCATCTCGGTGTTATTGAAGCTTTTAGTGGATCTTTGAAGAAGGACAGGTAAGACGTTTAAAAAACAAACTACATACTTTTATATAATCGAAAATTTTAATTAGAATTAAATCAAAAATTTATAAAATTAAGGATTTTAAACAAATGAAAAGAAAGTTGTCATATTACACATTTGAAACTCAAGAATTTAGATCCTAATTCACATATTTTAAAGATTAAAATCAAATATAAAATAGGTGGCTGTTGTCTTTGTACCTACACTGACTCCTGATACACTTCTACAAGATATTTTAAATGTTAGTTCTCAAAAGGTCAAAAGTTAGTTGTTTTTATTTATTATTATTAATTATTTTCTAATTAATTTTAAAGGTCCAGTGAAGCGTTAATGAAACCATACCCTGTGGCCATAGATCCCAGTCTAGAACAGCAAATAGAGGATGTTCTAAATGGTATACAATCTTTATATTTTAGTCATAAACAAATGTGTGTATGTCTGTGTTACGATATGAATCAGTGTTGATGAATTACAAAGTCTTAATAAAAGAAACTTAAATACTGTCTATACTTTACGCGATTAGTACACATTTAAATAAAACACTTTAACGGTTTAAAACGCGATATATTAGTTTAACTTATTTGAAAATGATTTTTAACTTCGGCCTGACGTTTCAGATGCTTTGCAGCAGCCGTGACCACGGCTTAGTGTTTTATTTAAAAGAACTTTCTTGTAGTAACATTATGAATTTTTCTTTTTTCAGAACTGAACATTGAACCAGTTAATGTGGATGCTCCTCAAGAAGGTTCCGAGGGTCAAGGAGTAACCATCATGCAAATGGACAAAGTCAAAGCAATGAAGGAAGCAAAGCAAACGTCTTCCGGTGTTATTTCTTGGTCCCCACCCCAGGCTAACTGGAATGCATGGACCGGCTGCAATATTGGCGAGTACAAAGATAGTCTAATTTGATAAGACCTCATAACGATATTTACGAAATTTAAAACTATTTAATACAATAGTAATAGTATTAGTTGTTTACGACTTTCATAGTAATTTTTTTTTAAGATTAGAGATTTCAATTTTTTATTTACAGACGAGGGGCCCTTAGCGACGGCTAGTTTAGATGACATCAGTATTGACTTGGAGAAACTACATCGTAATATGTGTCAGAACAGTACACTTTATCAAGTAAATATTCTACTTTATGCTTTTGATATACAAAGAAACGTCATATTACCATCCAAGCAATATAAATAATTTTAATTTGTACTTAACACACAATGCTAAACTATAAAACCTTGCAGGACAGTCTTCGCGAGAGAGAAGCGTTGCCAGTTACCGCGATGAAGTCGGAAATAATGACGGCAATTAATGACAACCCAGTTGTTATTATACGTGGAAACACGGGCTGTGGAAAAACGACGCAGGTATGGCAACATTTATTTGACAGAAGCCTTATAACAGTGTACAATATAATACTATGTCATCGACATATTTTACCTTAATAAACCGCGTACGAAGAATAAAATGTAACTTTATCACAGTTGGAAAGTCCTTCACTGAAGCTTAGATTGTGAGATCTAAATATAATAAAGTTAAAAAGTACTTTTTAGTTAGGTATCTATTAATAATCTATTTCTATCCTGGCAACTCGCTTATTAAATGTCTTTTTGTCGGTAAATAAGTCTTCTTTATCTAATTTAATTTTTAAAATGAATTATCTGTAAGAATATCTTATGACCAATAAATAAATAATATAGGGTATCCATAACAGTGCTAACTACTCTTATCATCTGAATCAATCAAATCAAATTTATCACTTATTAGATTTAATACTTAAATATCTTATGGTGTGTCACGCCATTTGTTTTATATAAGATATCATATACTGGTTTTTGAATAAAAATTGTAATACCAGGTACCATTGTATCATCATACATTTGTTATACGTATTTCCTTTGATTTATTTTTCTTTTCTTTTTATGTTCATCTAGATCACGATGTTTCGTTTATAGTAATAATGTTCTTTTGTTATATACTGAGTTCCATAAAAAAAATCCAGGTTTGTCAATTTATTCTGGACGACTACATAGCGAGCGGACAAGGTGCATGGGCAAATATATGTGTAACGCAGCCGCGAAGGATATCCGCGGTCAGTGTGGCTGAAAGGGTCGCAGCAGAACGCTGTGAGGAACTCGGGGACAGCGTCGGGTGAGCACTTTAACGGAATTCCCACAAGGCTCTCAATATCTCTAACATGAACTTAATTTTTCTAATACATGTTGGGCTTCATCCCGATAATATGGATATTGAATATGTTGTAAGAAAATGAGAATTCATTCATGAATTAGCTAAGAAAAGCCGTATAAATGTTATATGCCTATATTTTATCAAGCAGTTTCCATGCTTGTATTTCTTCTGTCAGGAAAAAAAATTTCAACCAAACCTCTCGGAAATATAAACTAAGCCTTAATTTATCTTTTTAAATGACCATTGCAATTAAATTATAGGTATTCTGTCCGTTTCGAATCGGTGCTACCTCGGCCGTACGGCTCAGTTTTGTTCTGCACTGTTGGAGTTCTGCTCAGGAAGTTGGAAGGTGGCCTCAGGGGTGTCAGTCATGTTCTTGTTGATGAGGTAACTTAATATTAAAAACCTAAAAATCCTTCTCTCTATCCTTCTCTCTCATATATATATTAAATGAAGTTTTTTTTCTAAAACAAACTTATTGAATCAATAAACTTTATTATATCCATCTCTTTCTGGTCAGGTATATAAAAGTATATGCAAGACAGGGACGACATTATAATGTCAAGTTTTTTTAGGTACACGAGCGAGATGCCGACACTGACTTCGCCCTAATTCTCCTCCGAGATATGGCACACACGTACCCTTATTTGCGAATAGTTCTTATGTCCGCAACTGTTGATACAAGCCTTTTCGTCAACTACTTTGGAAACTGTCCAGTTATTGAGGTAAGACCTCCGATGATCTGCTAATGTCCTGGTACTTGAAACACAGAAACTGTTAGAAACAATTATGCAATTGTTTTTTTGTTGATTCCTTTTAATTTTATTCAGATTTTATAAACGTCTAGGAATGAAACAGAACAGTAAAAAAAGACAGACAACATAGAGAACTATGTTATCTCTCTTTCACTAAAATGCTAAATCATAACAAAGCTAGACCTAACTACTAAAGTAATGGGCCCTAAAATATTTTCTAAAAATAGGTCAAATATATAATGTCTTACGCCAGTAGTACACATTTAAATAAAACACTTTAACGGTTTAAAACGCAATATATTAGTTAAACTTATTTGGAAATGATTTTTAACTTCGGCCCGACGTTTCGGATGCTTTGCAGCAGCCGTGCAAAAATCATTTCCAAATAAGTTTAACTAATATATCACTTTTTAAACCGTTAAAGTGTTTTATTTAAATAGGTCGAATACGTTTTATTTCCTTTAAATATGTATATAGATGCTTTATATATAGATCCATAGCATTTATTAATAAAAAAACGTGTATCACAAGACTGTATTTCTAAAAGAGAATTTTGCAACCCCCTGAAGGGTACATTTATCGTTTATCATGATATTAATTATTATTTTATCATTGATTAATTTTATTTACAGGCAAATTCTAGACATGAGACCTCAATGCCCTGCTCAACCAAAATAATTTACTGATTACCAAAGACATCCTAAGCCTGAACCCAGCGTCTGTCATGCTCAAAGTTATATTTGGATTTTATATAGATATTAAAACTAATATTTCTTGTATCAGGTGCCTGGCAGAACACATCCAGTAAAGCAATACTTCCTAGAAGATTGTATTGAGCTGACCCAATTCGTACCTCCCCTTAATACCAGGAAGCGAAAGTCGTCAGGGAAGAAAGCCAACAATAAGGATGACGATGACGATGATGATGAAGGTATGTACATAGATTGATGGTGGTTTTGATGCACTATCGGTCGCCCGAATAAAGAAGACGAAAAATAGGATAAGTAATATATTTTAATTTAAAGACTGTGTAAGTTAAATATTGTTTTATAAACAAATTAAAACGACTAAGACAACTTATCATAGCATTATTAAATATTTACATTGCAATGGTCTGAAAAGCGAAATCAGATTTTTTAAATGTTTTTAATACCAATGAATGAATGAATGAAATTGGAAATAAAATTAAAAGTCTCCACTGTTTAAATATTTTCTCGTAAAATTTTGAATAAGTATTAATAACAGGTTAATGCTCTGCTAACTAAAGTATTTATTATGTAGGAACAAAAAACCCATTTTCGTTTGTTCATTAACAATTTAACGACATGAGTGCTATTGCAGCTAAGAGACCATATGTTGTTATAACCTATAGTAAATTTGAATATTATTAATAATGTATTATTTTTTAGGTCTTGGCGAAGAAGAAGATGAAGATTTAAACAAGAACTGTCAACTAGGCGATGAATACTCTCCACAAACAGCTGATTCAATGTCCAAGCTCTCAGAAAAAGATGTAAGTGTTTACTTTCTGTGGTTAACGCGAATGGTACTCATTTAATAAAACGCTTTTTAACAGTAAAGAACGTGAAATATATTCGTTACTTGATTATTAACTACGAGCCGACGTTACGTGCTTTTTAGCACATTAGAAATGCCCGCCGTCTAGTGCCCCGTGACCACGTGGCTACTGAAAAGAATCGAAAACAATTAGGTAATTTATTTAACATTTTGAACTGTTAAAATTTGTATTATGTTTTATTAGTTTTCTACAAATAAATATTAATATTTTTCATAAACAATACAACATTTTCTTTCTACCAGCTAAGCTTCGAGTTGATTGAGTCAATACTCCTATACATCCAAAGCTTGGGTCAGGACGGAGCGATCTTGGTATTCTTGCCTGGATGGAACCTCATCTTTGCACTAATGAAGCATCTAAGCCAGCACAGTGTGTTCGGTGACCAGAGCCGGTACATTGTCCTGCCACTGCACAGTCAAATACCTAGAGACGATCAGAAGAAAGTCTTTATAACTCCACCTCCCGAGATGACTAAGGTAAGGTATTATTATGTTTTCTAAGACCTCATTTGGAAGTAGAATTCGATTTGGGGCATGAAACAAACAATATGCTGTCTGTTTTACTGTATTAACAGATAGGTATTATTTTTTTGCCCTGTCCAATTGTAAAAGTTATCATGAACCCTTAAGTTTCAAATCCAAACCGTAATGTGCCTAACAGAATATTATATAGCTGAATTATACTCATGTTGAACCAGGAAAGAAAAAAACTTCCCTGTGAAGCACGCTTTTATTCACAGACAAATAGTTTATTAGACTTCTGTGCCCAGCCCGATCGAAACAATCTATTGTTTCCTCGGGATTCGAACTTGGGACATATAGCCCCTAACACATTACCATTCACAATAATTTCCGTATTTATCGAATAATTTCTTTATTTTTTCTTAAAATGTCCATATCTTGAAGTCTTTAGCAGTATACAAACTTAGGTTGAGCCAGTTTTATTAAACTGGTGGTGGTAGAAATTATCCCCCCTTACCACATCAAAGCTAAGCTAAGCATCAGACATCTTTAAGAATAAGTTATGTAAAGCTTCAAATGTGCTCTACTCGCGTACGTTCAAATAAGAATGGAATAAATGTTTTTCGCGTACATCAACCAGGTGATCCTATCAACAAACATAGCGGAGACGTCGATAACCATCAACGACGTGGTGTACGTCATCGACTCCTGCAAAGCGAAGATGAAGCTTTTCACGTCGCATAACAACATGACGTCGTATGCGACGGTGTGGGCTAGTCGGACTAACCTAGAGCAAGTATGACATTTATTTGTTTTATTAAGTAATTCTTAGTAACAAAAAAAAAATAGTACAACCACAACATGTAACGTGGTCGTGGATTCGAAACCAGACTATCTATATATTCATAAAAAAATAATAATCTAAGAAAGGTAGTTATAAAAACTAAAGCAAGCAAATGTTTCAACTAGGTGTGACTGTATTTTTTTAAATGAAGAAATAATTTTTTTCTAGCGCAAAGGCCGTGCAGGTCGCGTGCGCCCGGGGGTGTGTTTCACACTCTGTTCGCGAGCAAGATACGACCGTCTCGAAGAACATCTCACTGCTGAGATGTTCCGCACTCCGCTTCATGAGTTGGCTCTTAGGTATTTCTAGTTACTGCTGCATATTTAGATTTATTTAACGAACCGTTTCAATAACACAATGTTTACTGCATCAAATGTCAAGTGTGCGCCTACGCATGAGATTTGAAGATAGATGAAAATAGATGTTTGTTTTGTAGGTACGATAAGTGCTGAAAAAACTATGCTTAATGTATATTGTTCGTCTGTATTTTTTTTGTTTGCTTTGGTTGCGTGCGTGTGAAATATAAAATATTTTGATTAGTCTAGAGTTCCTGGGGTTCGTATCCCGGCGAAATAATGAATTTAATTTTAATTATAATACGGACAGATTTAGAAATGGATAAAAAATTGTGTAAAAGGGAAAACGAGGTCTCACACAATGTATTAATATACACCTCGCCCTTACTACGAACTACTACTGACTTTAGTAAAATGGGTGGTTGACGATGGTGCTTTATGGGTTTGGTCTTTGGTTGCGATAACTGATAATTAAGATCGTACCCAATACTTGAATTAATTATTTATAAATTGTTATTTAAATGTTTGACTCTTTCAGTATTAAACTCCTACGCCTTGGCAACATAGGTCACTTCCTATCCAAAGCTCCAGAACCGCCACCGCTTGATGCGGTCATAGAAGCAGAAGCTCTCCTGAGAGAATTGGGCTGTTTGGATTCTCACGACGCTCTCACACCGCTGGGTACAATCCTGGCTAAACTACCAATCGGTAAATGATCGATTTTTTCATGAAATAATAATTATACCAATGATGTAAGCATAATACATTTTACCAACCACACTAACAAAAATACAGATGTACCTTCGACCATTCAGTTATTTCTTCAACTGAATTATGGAGACCTGTCCGCAATATTCGAATTTTTCAATCGGTTTATAAATGGTCCTTCCTTTTTATCATAGAGGACGAACAGGCTTCATTGATGGAAGGTAAAATGCCTGCCATATAAAATCTGACTTAGATACGCTGTCGATCTACTTTAGCTCCGGATATTGACAAATCCACAGACTGAAATCGAAACGCTATTAAACTTCGTAACTGTTTTATCTCTGGACGGTAGTTCGTGACTCGAACGGAATTTGAATTACCCCCCGTTTAATATGTAGATTTCTAGACATAGTCCAACTTGAGAAAGATTATAGAATTTTCCTAATAATATACAAAAAGAAGTTATGGCGAAAATGTTTTTATTTTATATGTCATATTTTTTGAGGTTTTCTATTTGTAGCGCTAATCCTTTACAGAACCAAGCCTCGGCAAAATGATGGTATTAGGCTTCGTATTGGGTCTGGGAGATGCTCTCACCACAATGGCGGCGAACTCTACTACCTTCCCTGAGATTTTCGCAATAGAGGGTAGACGAAGACTGGCGACACATCAGCGGGCACTAGCCGGCGATAGGGCGTCCGACCACGTCGCTATGTTGAACGCTTTTCAGGTATTTGTTACGTTAGAAATAAAGGAAGAAAATCATCAAATGTAAATAATGTACATATGACTATATATTTTATTTTACTTAAACATATTTTTTACTAGATATTTCACACGAACAGTAGAAATTTGCAGAGTAAAAGGTAACAAGGTGTTCTTTTGCTGATCCGTTCTTTAACAGGCAAGTAGTTGATCTGTCTTCTGTGCCCAGCCCGACCGAAACAATTTTCTGTTTTCCTAGGATTACAAAAGAAAAATAATCATTTGAAATAAAATAGTAAGACACAGCTATTGCTGCATCGCCGATTGTTAATAGTGTCTCTATCAGATTGTCAATCTTTATTTGTAATGAAATTAATTATATTGCTATATTAAAGAATTAGAATTTTATCGAACCAGTGCAAATCTAAGCCAAGAAAACTTGTAGAGAAGGATCTTTGAAAGAGAGACATAACATTAAGTTACTCGATATAGATGTGGGAGCGAGAGAAGGCGAAAGGCGAAGAAGCCGAACTGAATTGGTGCGAGTGGAAGGGTCTGCAACACACCACACTACGCGTCACGTGCGAAGCTAAATACCAACTGACAAGTTAGTTTAAGTATATTGTGGTATCCTTACTAATATTATAAATGCGAAAGTAACTCTATCTGTCTGTCTGTCTTTTACTCTTTCACGCCAAAACTACTGAACGGATTTTGAAATGGTAACCATGGTCTATACCCTGAGAAAGAACATAGGTTTAATAATCGAAAATAAATTGAAAAAAATCTTCGACTCGGGCAGGACTTGAACCGGCATCGTCAGCTTTCCGTGCTGTTGCTCTACCAATTGAGCTACCGAGTCCTAGGACTCGAGTCGAAAATTTTTTCAATTTATTTTAGATTTTTAAATTATATAGTGCCTTCATGTACAATAACATGTGAATGTTTGTATGGAAATTTGCGGTTTTTGAAGCTAGAACAATGAAACTTTCTTCTTTGGCTTTTTAGGAATGGGAGTGGGAGTGAGAGTTAGACATACATACAACATAGATTGGCTGCGATAAATGCTCAATTACATACATTAATAAACAGCCTAAATAATTAAAAATTTTACTCCAAGTCACTAGTCTGCGGGCAGAGCTAGTAAAAAATGAAAGCGCAATTTCTGTAGAAGCCTTAAAATGTTACTGTTTTGAAAAGATATGTTTTCAAATGTGTCATTTTAATGTACAAAATTATTAAGTGATATTGACACATCTCTTTTTTTTTTGCTTATGTATTTGCAATATACATTATTATTTTTGTTGTTTTAGATATTCTAACAACATCTATCGGGTTTTCCGAAGAATGCTGCATGCCCAAACGATGGGACCCGTACGGCGAAAATGCAGATTTGGATATGGTGATAGCGCTGCTGTGTATGGGACTCTATCCTAATGTTTGTCTGCACATGGGCAAACGGAAGGTAGTCATGAAAATTTGTTAAAACCCATACAAAATAAAAAATTGTTATTCCACATATTAATCTCCCACTGTTAGGCATGGCTTAGGAGAGAGGGGTTAAGAGCTAGATTGCTAGGATACCCATCACGCAACACTAGTGTGGGTTGATGGAATTTTACGACTACCTCCACTAATTTAGCCACGTGTTCAAATTTTGAAACAATGTTATTTACATTGCACTAGGCGTTAACGACGGAAGGCAAACCAGCACTCATCCACAAGACATCTGTGAACTGCAGCAACCAAGAACAGAAGTTTCCTTCGCCGCTCTTCGTGTTCGGTGAGAAAGTGAGAACTAGGGCCATTAGCTGTAAGCAGACTACAATGGTGGCACCCGTGCATTTACTGCTCTTTGGAAGCCGAAAGATCGAGTGGGTACGTTCATCGTAAAAACATCAACTCTTGATTGAATCCAGGCCTGTTTATGGAATTACAGGCCTGGATTCAATAGGCGTTTTATAAAGGTGTATGACTTATACACCTTCATAAAATGTTTTCATTTTTCAAACAATTTTGGTTTGGTCAACTAACAGGTTTTTGTTTTCAGAATTTTGTTACTTTATCAAACACTTTACATATGATTGATTTGATGGCTTTAAACAGTATATACACAGTTAAACGTAACAAATACTAGGCATTCAAAACGATAATTAAAATATTTTTGTAAACTGTAATTATACAGATCGACAACGTCGTGCGCTTGGACAACTGGTTGAACTTTGACATGTCGCCTCGGGTGGCGGCCCTCATCGCGGCTCTGCGGCCCGCTATCGAGCAAATCGTGGAACGCGCCGCGCTCAAACCGGACTGCGCCATGTCGTTCTCGCCGGTAGAATATAAGGTAACATCGTCATCCTTTATTATAATAAAACAAATGTATATGTATACTAAAGTTAACACGAAGCGCTTTATAAAGAACATTGTTTCAGGTGATTAATTGTGTCAGAGCTTTGTGCCAATTCACGGCCGGGGACTATGGAATAACAAGAGATGTATCGGTCCCAAGTTTCAGACCGGACGCACCCAAGCGGGGCAATTATAGAGGTTGGGGAACTAATGGACCGAGAGGCGGTTTTGGAGGGAGCTCTGGAAGTCAAGGTTTTGGCGGGGGTTTTGGACAAAATGCCGGTTTTGGGAACCGTGGTGGTTTCGCCAATCGTGGCGGGTTCGGCAGCCGAGGCGGATTTGAAAATCGTGGTGGATTCGGAAATCGTGGTGGATTCGGAAATCGTGGCGGATTCGGAAACCGTGGCGGATTCGGAAACCGTGGCGGGTTTGGCAGTCGTGGCGGATTTGGCAACCGTGGCGGTTTCGGAAACAATGACGGTTTTGCAAACAGCGGCGGTTTTGGAAATAGTAGCGGTTTTGGAAACAGTGGCGGTTATGGTAACCGCGGTGGAAGAGGTTTCAGAGGAAGCGGTAACTATTCGTATTGAAGCAATTTAAAAAGAATTTAGAAACCGAGTGCTATATTCTTTGTCAAAATTGTACTGTGTGCTGTAATTTGAATTACATTAATGATTGACCACAAAAATAGACTTCTCACCGTTTTAATAATATAAGCACTCATAATAATTAAACAATAATAACACAAGATTTTGTTTTATTTAGAATTCACAAGTATAACCATGAAAGACAATAAATACTGGAATATAAATGTAAGAGGCCTTAGGGGCGAAAGCCTTCGTCATTCAACCGGGTTTTGGACTACTATCAAAATGAAATCTTTATCTGGAGCGACCATAACTTCGCTCTTCTTGCTTCTAATTCTGAGGAAAGTGAGATCGTTTGTCGGATCGAGATCGCGCACTACCGATTTGGCCTTGTCAACCAACGCGCTGAGAAGTCCAGCGTATTGCACTGAGACGTGGTTGTCCAAAGTAGTTTTTATTGGTATTCCTTCACCGTTTACCACAACTACACCCACAACGCCCTTATGCTGCGAAAGTTTTCGGATGGTTTCTTCCGCTTCGTTTGCCATTTATTTTGTTCGTGCCTTGGCCGTGTATTAAATATTATTTCGCCACTGACATCTCTTAGTAATGTCAATAGAAAAGATTTTTTTTAGCAAAGCAAGGAGGATTTATTTTAAAATAATTGACTGATTTAGTGCAACCGAGTTCCAAAGTAAATTATTTATAGTCTTATATTATTCCAATCTGATTCTGGATTTCTACTACAGTAAAGACCTGGGTTACTGGACTGGATTTGTGTAAGTTGGCCCTTAGGGATTGGATGCATTAACTTTTTTATATTTATTGTATCATGGCAGATTTTAGTCTTCATAAAATAGTAATATAAAAATCTATTATGAGAGTTAGGTATGGTTTTATTACTGTAATGAATGTATAGAATTATATATATTTTTTTATAATCACTCATAACATGTTTTGTTCTATTTGTAGATCACTTGCGGGAATTAACTCTTTTTCCTTCTGCATTTCTTGAACTTGTAAATATAGTGGCAACTTTCCACTTCTTAATTTTTCTCTTTTATGCACTTTTAACTGGTGTCTCATCAATTGCTTACGATACCCAAATGCTTTGTTGCATACATCACAGATATGCTCCTTGATGCCCGCATGATCTACCTTTAAATGCAGTTCATATGATTTTTTATTATGAAATCCTCGTCCACATGACTCACATTTGAAATCATAACTATCACGGTGGGTTAAACTGTGTGTGTTCAAATTACTTTTGGTGACAAAGCGAGATGGACATTGGGGGCACTGATATGGTTTATCACCAGTATGGGTTCGTACATGCAGCTTTAGAGACTCTGCAAACCTACCCCTGTAAGGGCATTGATTACATTTGAAAGGTAGGTCATAGGAATGGGTCAGTCGGTGTCTAATAAAATCTCCTTTGAGAAGGGAATGTTTGCCACAGATATCACAAATAAACTGGGTTTTATTATGCATGGCTAAATGCTTCTTGAAATATATATCTTTATAGCTCTTATTGCAAACAGGACATACTCGTTGAACATTCTCATGGTATGCTGATATATGTTGTGTGTATTCTTCAAAATTGCAGAATGATTTGTTACAGCTGACACAAATATAATCTTCTACAGAATTCTTTGCATCTTCCTCATTTTTAGCTGAGTCATATGTGAAGTTGTCTTTATTAATATCATTGGGGTCTGAAGGAGATTCTCGTAATATTTTGTCAGCTTCTTGTGCAGCTCTCCGAAATTTTACAGCACTCTGTAACTGGGAATGGCAATTGTTGCATAAGAACTTAGGCAACTTATCGTCAGGATCAATTTCAACATCCGCAAATACACGTAAGTTTTCTGAAACATCGTCAGATAGTAGGTTTCCGAAGATCGGAATGTCACCATCTTTTAGACAAACTCTGCATTTCTTCTCATTTTCTTTTTTTATGCCATTAAATACCGATGAATCGTTTTGGGTTGCGGGAACTTTATTCTCATTACGGCGTCGGTCGTGTAAGATTTTTAACAATAACAGATTACCAACCATTTTGTAGCTTATTTTCGCAGATATTTCGCATTTTCCGAAATTGTATTATTATGTTTTTATCTCGGTTCGTAATAACAACAATACAACTACAGATGTCTGGTGCAGTTGCAACCCACAGATTATATAATTACAGTCAAAATCAGTGAAATGACATTTGATAGCTGTCAGATCCGATGGAAGCTATTGCCAAATGAAATGTTTAAAAAATATATATTTAATATTTATAACCTAAAACTATCCTATAATTTTTAGTTTATCAATAATACTTAGTTTTGTTTTATTAATATATAAGAATTTTGAAAATATCGAAGTCAAATATGATCTGATGATATTCACGTTCTTAAAACTATAACATTTTTGACCGCAAGTAAAATAAACGAAAATGAATTTGGTTAAAGTGAGTGTACTTTTTAGTTTTGTATATTCTGTTTTCAATACATTTCTAATACTTATTTGAATTTTCAGCAATTATGGCGAGTTTCGCCTACAGTTCGGAGTGCATTTATAACCAACGTTTACCCTGTAAGGCAACTTTCTGCTGTAACAATAAATCCTTTGAAGCCGATTCAACCTCTGCCACCTTCAAATACTGAGGAGTTGGACAAATTGTATAAAAGAGTAGAACTAGAAATGAGAGGGATAGACCCTGCTGTGTTATTGAGTTATTCTTGGTTCTGTATTGCTGCTGCTTCACATTTAGGCATTGAAGTAACAAAAAGGTATTTTATTGAAAAATTAAAACGGTATTTAAATGTATTAATAACTTTAAGTTACTTAAACTTTGATTACTTTTTTTAGTTGGACTTTAAGAAAAGCTGAGAAAGAAAGACACACATTGCTTCGGTGTGTGCATATCTACAAGAAGCACAGAGTCCAGTATGAAATCAGAACTTACTTCAGATTCATTCACATCCAAAGATTAACAGGATCTACCTGTGACACGTATTTGGAATACATTGAAAGGAATTTGCCTGAAGGCTGTGCGCTTAAAGTCACCAAAATAGAATGTCAACCACTGCCAGACCACATAACACCACCAAAAGAGGAACAATAAATACTAAGTAGTAGTTGTAGCAAATAAAAGATAGAATAAGAATATTTCTTTTATTTAACATTTAATGTTAGATTAGGCATATCTTTATATAATACTTAGTCATGGACTGAATTTTTAAATACTTATATTTTATAGAATAGTAGCTTTATTGTATACATTCTAATAATTATTATGAGCAAGCTAAATGCCAAGTACTCTCCTCCAATATGTAATTATATGAGTTAAAGATTTAACTTAAGGTAACACTGGTAAGCCAGAAGTATTAATATTTTTGGGGCAAGGAGGTACTCTTAAACCTATTCTATTCATACTGATGATTTTTACACACAGTGAAAATGAAAAGAATAGCAAAAGCTAGCTCTAACGCATGGAATATTAGCATCACAGCACACCAAATGTATTCAAGCCTTAAAATGTAAGTCTGGTAAATAAGGAAGTAGCATACACCAACAGCGGATGGTATTGTTAAGATGACTGAGAAAAATACAGGAATCTCTGAAATAAAGTTTTAGATAAGTAGCGTTATTTAGTAATGAAATATTTAGTTTACTCCTTAATGCGAAAAAAAATGGTTTGGATTTATTAAATTTGTATTTTAATAATATGTTACACGTTAATTTGATCCTAGTTGTGTTCAAGACAGTAAATCAATATTTCCAACAATGAAACTCACTCTTACTAGCTAGGTTGCCTCTTCTCCCAAGGAATATACGCAGTACTTCTACCAAACATAGTGCACAAAATATACCAGCCTCAGTCACTAAAGCATTATCTGGATACGATACATTAATTGCCTTTAAAATGCCCATCGCGACTTCGCAAACGAAAAACATTCCCAAATAAAATGAATTGAGATACATTAGGATCTCGTACGCAAAACTAGAATTCACATTTGCCACTTTCGACATTATTGTTTTATTTGTTTACAGTTTTTATTATTTGTTTACAGTTTTAATCGTTAAATGGTTCGAGGTTGTCAAGTGTCAAAAGATCCGGTTAACGAATCCTAACGCGGAAGCGGAGAAAAGGGCGGGAAATGTCAATATCTTTTTATATTAGTGTTGTGTATGTGTTTACAATTCTAGAGCCATGAAATATTAAAAAAAAATACAATTCTAGGTAGTACTGGCGTAAGTGATTACAGTTTTTATGAAAAACGAATATACTGAATTATATGGCAATCGTAGAAAAATAAAAAAAGTACGATTATTATATGACTTCTAACTTCTAGTTTTGCCGATGCACTTGAATGCACTTCGGACAATCCGCAGTGCATAGCTTAGAATGGCCAGAAACAGAAAGTGGTCATACAGGAACACGGAAGATATTGGTATACAGAGTGATGTTATTAAAAATAACTACAATACCTCGTAACGATAATGTTATGATGTTTTTCAAAGAAACCTTTTTTTAATTCAAAAACATCATAACGTTTTACGCTAATCTATAATAATAATATAAAAAGTTAGTTTCAACGTGCAAATCTCAGGAAATACTGGTTCAAATTTTAAAAAAAATGCGATGCGAACAATAGGAGCAAAGACCCAGTGGGAAATGTGGAAGATAAGAGGAAAATGATTCCTCTTTAAATGATTTAAAAAATGGCCGCGACAATATGTCGCTATTTACGCTTAACTTTCAACAACGACGGGACACGGACGAAATCGCGGCTACAGCTAGTTAGTGACCACTAACCTGCGCTGGAACAGCTTTATGTGTCCTTTTTAATAAGACCTTTATATTGATAGATGAAGATAAGAAACTACTTATTTTGTTTATTTTTACTTATTAAAAAATATCGATTTCCACGTGGAATGTGAACACTCCAGTTAAGTGAGAGTTGAGGAAAATTTACCACGCAATGTTACAGCACGCTATCATTACATTTCCCTAAGACAGAGCAAACAGACGTATACAACGCATAATTCCAATGTTTAGTTATTATCTGTGAAAGATTTTTTTTTTCGAAAATGAGAACGAAACCAACTCTTTCGTTTTCGAAGTTGGACGAGGAGACGGGAGCCATGTTGGATAATATGTTCGATAAAAAGGACTGCATGGTGGAGATTAATCCTGGCCGCGTGATTCTACCCGCAGACTATATGACTATAGGGCAGGATATACTGGATATGGAGGTGCTGGATAGCGACGTCTGGATGTGTTCTTACCCGCGGACTGGTGAGTTTTAAAATGGGAAAGTTAATAGTTAGTCAGGATTTTTTTATCTAATGATTTGCAGTGTAGATTGTTTTTGTAATATAAACGGATTATTTTACCTTGGTAGAGGTAGAGCTTATGCACGGTTTTTAATATGATTTACTGCAGGTGCTTTCGGAATCCTTTAAAACAATTCTTTCAGGGTCAACTTGGGCACAAGAAATGGTGTGGCTCATTGGACACGACTTGGACTACGAAGGTGCAAAATCAATTCAACAAGTAAGAAATTATAATTATATTTGTCCAGTATTAAAATAGAAAAGCAACGTAGGCAAGATCACATACAATTTTCCACGGAAGAAAACAGCTCAAGTTAAATGTGCGAAGAATCTGGTTGTGATTATCATATACGCTTAAACTTATGCGTTGATTTAAATAAAACACTTTAACTTTTTAAAACGCGATATATTAGTTAAACTTATTTGAAAATTATTTTTAACTTCGGCCCGACGTCTCCCGTGACCACGGCTGCTGCAAAGCATCCGAAACGTCGGGCCGAAGTTAAAAATAATTTTCAAATAAGTTTAACTAATATATCGCGTTTTAAACCGTTAAAGTGTTTTATTTAAATGTGTGTGTATATTTTTTTGACGCTTACTGGATATTATGTATTGGTGATATTGCAATGTTGTTTTCCTATCCTTTCAACAACTGAAAATCGGTTTAATCCGTTAGAAAAACCTGACCAAGTATAGAAAAAAACCTTAGCTTTTCCCATACTAGACGTAAATAAGCTTTTGTTTATAGTATTCTGTATATATCTTAAAGTTAAATAAAATAACTTTGTTTAGTAAGCACCTGCTGCTTAGTCGTAAGCGTTTTTTTTTGATAATGCGATTTTCCTATTATTCAAATAAAGATCCGCTGTCCTCTGGTCGAGCTGAGTTGTATAATGGTGGATGGCCACGCAGAATGGCACGACGAGTCCGTTAAAGGGACCTCCGTGGACCTGGTGAAGTATCGCCTGCCTCACCCGAGGTACATTCGTAGTCACTTGCCCTGGGATTTGCTGCCTGTTGATATTGTGAAGGAAGATGGCACAGCTAAACCGAAGGTTTCATGGCTTTAAGATTCTTTTTTGCCGTCACTGTCCATGCTGGTTGATTTCGAATGTTTGCTAAGGCTTAAATAGAGCATTGTTTCTTTTCCACAATCCTTTCGACAAGACAAAGAAGGACAAAAAATAAACAGTGGTCGTCAACCTTCCTCTACTCGTACTACTGTGTAGCTTGATATTTTTTTTAAATATTAATTTATTTGATTTTTTTTAAACTACGCCCGGGCGTAAAATTGCTTTATTTAAATGTGTACTACTCGCGTAAACTACAAACAGTATTTAAATATGTAGGTGTACAGCATCTTATAACAAAACTTTCCTAGGTAATCTACACTTCACGGAACCCTAAAGACATGGTGGTCTCCTATTACCATTACTGTACCTTGGTTCACGGGCTTCGAGGGACGTTTGAAGACTTCTGCGATTTGTTCATGAGAGATCGCGCACCCTTCGGTCCTGTTTGGAATCATATTCTAGGTATATGCGAATTATGAAAGTGAAGTCATTGTTAAAAAATGTAGGATACATGCATACAGTTCATTACATTATAATACTCAATAATTGAAACAAAATAAAGAAAGAAAACAAATAGCTCTTGTATTGTTTTAAAAATTACAGGGTTTTGGAAGCGTCGTGATGACCCAAACATTCTCTTCATAAAATTCGAGGAAATGAAACGCGACCTGCCCATGGTTGTAAGGAAAACCGCGAAATTCCTTGACAAAGATATGTCAGACGAGCAGGTGGATAAGCTGTGTGATCACTTATCCTTCCAGAATATGAAGCAAAACCGTGCTGTAAATTTGGAGGGTATTCTTGAAAAGTCTTTCGGCAAGAGCTACTTGGAACAGACGCCATTGCGATTTATCCGAAAAGGGGAGATAGGAGATTGGAAGAACTACATGTCAGATGATCTATCTAGAAGATTCGATGATTGGGCTGAAAAACATTTGAAGGGAACCGAGTTGAGTTTCGAATAAAACCACTGGAGGTTTTATTAAGTTAACAACTACCCTCAAAAAACATAACCACAATTTAAAGTATTTTTTTAACATAATTCTATTTATTTAAGTTAACTCTGTAGTTGAATTAATAATCTTAAAATAATTATATTTTGGAGTGGTTATTATTTATTGTTACATAGACACTTGGGATTTTTAAATAAAACAATATAAAAATTATGCTTTTCATTTGTACAATTATACAGTGTATGGCACTTGTTTATTTACATTTTAAGGCTTAAAATGATATAATGTTTAAAACATTTGGAATAACGCTAAATATTACATAAATTACAATTGAAACGTACACACATATGACAAGCGTAGGGTCCATTTAAGTAAAATTTAATACGAGATTGCCTAAAAATGTATGTAGCTATAATTTATCACATCGAAAAAAAACCAAAATCATCCAATACTTAACAGTTATCAGACATATGACAAATTCTACTTGCTATAATGTTCTAGCTACAGTAATATATCATGTAAAGATTTTATTTTGTATACACCTATAAAATTTGTAAACATTTAAAATTTAATAAAATCAATTGATTGATACAACATTAATCTCAACGACTAGAAAAAATATTCAATTGACTACAACGACTATTAATTGATACATTACTTTTCCTTATTCTATTAAAACTTTGTGTCTCCTCCGTAGTGAGTAAAATTAAAAGTGTAAAAAGCGAAATATTGTTTAAATACGACAAGAAAAATAACTACAACAAGCTTCGTATCTTCTCTTTCTGCTTGAACCGTTGTGTCTCTTTCACACTTTTACTCTCTGTCAAACTTCTCTCTTGCACAAGTTTCTTGTCTCTTTCTTTTATTATAGATTTGTAAAAATCTAAGTCCAATAAAAGCTATGCTTGATAATATTTTAAATATGTATGTGTATGTATATATGTAGTTAAATAACTATATGTAAGTTGACTCAAAAAACTCGCTTATTTACTTAATTATTTGTTAAACAATTTCATTCAGTAGATTTTTAAACTGTAAATATATTATTTAATTTAATTATCATTATTATCTATTGTCCATTGCTAAAGCTCTTCATAACATGATTGTGGAACTCTTTGGGTTGAGATCTTTAATATTATTGTTATTTATTTAAGCTTTTTTTAATTGCGTTCACCTAGCTTAATACTGCTTACTTATATATATATAAATTATTTTAAGTAAAATATTTAATTTCGATACCCAGTTCAAATAGTAAAAAATAACATTTGTATCAAAATCACTCATATTTTTTACAATCTCTAAATGCAAAAAGCACGCAACGCAATACAATAAATAATCGACTATCAAACTATGTAACATCCGATATTATATAATGTAACACATAATTTATTTAACAACTTAACGTTTAATTAATTTGCATTATTTTACGACCCACACACTTAATATCAAGGATTACTCGTACTTAACTTACGTATCATAGATCATTAAAAATAAAATATATAATTGAATAAGTTATAACATAATATATCGTCTCCTTATTTCGTAACTAGTATTTTAACCTTTTAACAACAGAATAGAAGTCAAATTGAGAAACAATTAAATCACAATAGTGTCATTGCTCTACAAAAATAGAGTATCGACATTATTTAAGCATAGATAAAAAAATCCCATGAAGTAACTACAGTTTTTCTATTGAAGTAACACTAAGCACATTTTTATTAAATTAAACGACAGCTGGGATTGCTGGATTTATGTCTAACGTGTGGATTACCAAATGCACCGCAGCACTGGTGATGATTAACGTTTTTTGTATGGTGATGGCCGTGGGGATTTGTTTGTACCTGTGCTTTCTCCTTGATAGAATCTTTCGGGGCCTTTACGCACACTTTATGGTGCCCTGGTGCTATTCTCGCCCGAAAACGTCCGACTTTGCCCTGTTTGGGGTGATTATTCTCGACGGTTTCAGAAACTGTGCAAACGTGGGTGTTGCCATGATTAGCGTCTTGGTATTCTGTGTCGTCTGTTTCTAGAAAGGGCCAAACAAGAATAAGCATTAAGAAAGCTTTTTAACTTGAAAACAAGAGCTTTTTACGAATTGAATATATCAGTATTAAAGAAGACTGGAATGGTAGCTAAATTGATAGAGCAACACTTGGTTGGTCGTGTTATCAATTTTTATTTAAATTCACGAATACGTCTTAGAGCTTGGGCAACATAACTAATAATATTTTTTTACGATGAAGAGAAGAAGCGGTACTACCTATTTCATCTCCACTATGTGATGCTGTCCGTACATGTGTTATTGAATTTTGTGTTACTTGCGTGTTGGGCCCGTACGATGTGTCTATGATAGGCGCTGAACGTGGCGGAGAGAGTGCACCGGCTCGCTACGACATAATAATACATTTTTATACAGTACAAATGACGATATTGCTGTTTTAAATAGCTCGCAATACCAGAAGAATATTTTCTATCTAATAAAATATATGGGTTCATTGCTATAGGGAAATGAGGGTAGTGATCAAATAGAAGATAACATTTACTGTGCAGATGACACTTACAAGAGTCGCAGTGTAGAAATCCTTGTCTCTATCCAACAATGGCGCGGTACCAACTCTACATGGAGACGTGGCACTGTAACTGTGAACGCAAAACGTTAGAACGTCATATCTTATTTTTAATATCATTTTTTTTTAATTTTGCTTTATTTTAAAATATTCAGCATACCAAAAGGATGAATTTAAACTATCTAAAGTTCGCTGGGGGTCCATTGATTCAGCATCAGTCCACATCCCTCCTACGCTGGCTGACGTTGATCTTGATTCGGGAAATGGGCGAAATTCTACAGAATAAAAATGTGTGAAAAGTCAACCTTCATTCAAATAATACTAGATTGTTCCCCAGGTATATAAGTAACCTCAGCTGGGATTATATTCTGAGGTTTGGATTGGAATGTTTAGTTCTACACCATATAAATACTTACCTTTATCTTTTTCCGTCCTATTTGGCGAATTGGCGATACTCCGCCTGGCAACATCTTGAAACGTGACGGGTGAATACATCCGCCTCTCTTCCGCGGGTGACGTCACGGTCGGTTGCTTTAGCGTAGGAGATGGCAGAACGTTTCCTGCACTGACGAGAGACATTGCTGACATGATATGTAGCTCTTTGTGGTTGAACTGTTGGGCTGAATGCTCTGCAATACTGTCTCTGACATCCGCTGCTCGTTCCCATTCTAGTTCTTGTCCCGGTTGTATTTGGGATATTACTTTTGTAAGGGACGGCCGGGATTCTCGGCCTTCTAGCCAGTAGGTTTTCATTGCACCTAAAAGTTTTATATAATCTTTATTAATTATTTGTATGCGTAAATGTTGTCTATGTTGTCAGTGTTAAACATTTTGAGAAGTAAATCGCATCACATTAAGTCGTTGTCATTTGTAATTATTTTATTTTTAGTTCTTTGTTGGTAATAAAATAAATGAAGATCATATGCCCTGAGAAAGTACGAAGTAATAGACAAGTCAATATATATAGAAATATCATTATAAAGTAGCTTTAGCCAGACATCAGAAATCTACTGGTTTGTTCAGTATTCTGTGAAAAGAAAAATCAAAACCATAACACAACTTACAGAACTTACCTTTCCCTTTCACTTGAATCTCTCCCCTCTCTGTCACCCTGTACGATGGTGACAGCAATTCCTGTGTGGTTTGCGATATGTGAATTCTCATCGCTTCAGAGGTGGACTCCATCCGTGATGCCGTATTCACGGAGTCTCCGAAGAGACAGTACCTGGGCATCTTTAAGCCTACTATCCCAGCCACAACAGCCCCCGAATGGACACCTACTCGAATGGATAAATGAGAGCCTGGAATCGCATATTTTAAAAGCAATCATTTAATTTTAATTCCAGTATAGAGACTTAAACGTATTGCAGATTTTTGAGTTAATTCCAGAACACTTCTAGAATTATTTATATAAATAAAAAATAAAAAAACAAGGACAGGATTTGAACCGGCATCCACAGCGTTCCGCGCTGTTGGTCTAACCAATTGAGCTACTGTGTTCATTAACTATATAGACGTACATTGCCTTTCCTTTGGTTAAAGCTATTACTTTTAGAATTTTTTTTTTACAAATTACGTAAATAATTGAATTGAATTTATCTCTATCGTATTACAAATCTCAATTTGTATGAAATGTTCGTAAAAAATATGCGAATATAATCCATATCGATTTACCAGTACTCGGGTCTTTTAAGTCCGTGATTGCGTCCACCATATCTAACGCCATATCACACACCTTCTCCGCATGATTATCTTCTTTCTCTGGAGCACCAGACACCACCATGTATGCATCTCCTATCGTTTCCACCTAAGAAAAAAGGTTAAGAATAAATGGTATGCAAAAAGTTTTCAAAAGTGAATAACATATACGAGCAAGATGTATGTTACATGTAGTTTATTAAATTTAAACTATGTTACACATACGTGTTTACATATTACATTATTATTTTACAAATAAAATTGTATTGTAGTTAATTCGCGTGTAAATGAAACGTTGTCTCGTTCCCACAATCCCCTAGAAATGACAAGGACATAAAATGATCACTGCTCGTCAATTTATGTTTTCCTAGTAACTCGTTTCGTTAAAGAGATATTAAAGACACGGGGCAACTTTTCAAATATTATTTCCAAATTATATTTAATTAATTCAATCAAGTACTCCATTCTTGAAAACATTACCATTTTTCATGTTTGCACATAATGACTTTTATCTATTAAAATTGTTTTCTAAACCGGCTTCTACAACGATCCGTGCTGTTGCTCTAACTCAATTGGTTATAGAGCGTTTTTTTTCTACAATTGATTTTTAATATAAAGAAATCCTTGGAATAATTATTATTAGTTTGCAATAACTGGTGATATTAGAAGACTAACCTTGTACACCCTATTTCTTTCAGTTAGAGTGTCGAATATAGAGTACATAGCGTTCAGCATCGATACAACTTCCATCGGCGTAATTCTAGAGCATATCTCAGTAAAGGTCACTACGTCTGAGAAAAGTATTGATACGCTGTCGAACATCTGTAAAAAAAAATCGACATTAGATGTTGGACGGCTCGTTGGTGTAATGGTAGTAAATAGCAATATATGTCTAACTCTATCAAAATGTTTCTTATCAATTCATAGTGTTTCTAAAACTTGTTGGACTTAGTCCGGATATCTCGAAATTAATTGAGAGGTGGGCATTTCGAAATTCTGTCTGGGCCACGAACCACCGTTTAGTCTGTGGATTTCTGAATATCTATAGCCATATAGGCCGAGAGCATATCTAGTTTGAATGTTACATGGCCATGTTAAAAAACATGTTAAAAATCTTTTGATCATCCTATTACGCACCTCACATGTATCAATAGGATTTTCCCCATTTCTCAATCTATCAGCCACCTGCTTCGGTATCATCTGGTATAGCAGCTCATCTGTTCTCTTCATCTCTTCGTCCAGTTTCCGCATCGATTCCTCTAGCTTCTTACTCTTCTGCTGTTCCTGGTCTAAGGCTAGCTTGAGTTCTACAGACTGTTGGGTTCCAGCAAGCATGAGGTCTCTGTAACAATACAAGTTCCATGCATATACATATATGTTTCATACATAAAATCTATATTGTACTCTAGGGGTAAGTTACCTTTTTGTTTTATAAACTATTATGGTCACTGGTTTTGCATCAAAAGTATTTATTAATTGGTATAATTAGTCATATGAATTTTAATTAGGTACACAAATATATACACATTTATGTATCTATATTAAAATTATAGAGCTGAAGATTTTGTTTGCGTACTATCTCTGGAACTACTGTGAAAAATATGTTGTTGGATAGACCATTTGTCGAGAAAGGCTTTCGGATACACGACCAGAAGGAGCAAAGAAACGGGACAGTATACGTTTCCAAAGCTGAGGCGGTTATTTGCAATAAAAAATAACCTTAAATAACTATTTCACGCGGACAAAGTAATTAAATAAAAATTAGTATATATGTTTAAGTGAATTACCGAGATGTCTAATCCATCAAGGTAGGTACATGTCATTTTAATTTACCTGCTAAAATCATGCATAGACAAATCATTGATATAGAGTCCAGTGGAAACCAGGGCCGAGAGATCAGGCATGACCGGAGTGCCCAAGTACATCATCATTCTCCAGTTGTCCATGTAGATCATTTGACCTGAAATTATACAAATGTTAAATTAATGTTATACAACGTACTTACTATTATCGCCAATCTATAAGTACAATAGGCAAGTGTAGAACGTGCACAAAAAGTTGCAGTGTGTGATATTCTGTTTAACGCGGGGCATGTCGGATTTTGTGAATGTTTTACGGATTGATTTTTATTTATTGACAAGTAGGTGTTTTTTTGTGCTCAGTTTGGTTAGAATTATTTATTGTGTTTCTAAACAAGATCTTTCGCACTTAAATTTATGGACAAACAGTCGAACCATTATATCAGAAACGCAATTTATAGCAACCATACCAACTTTTTACAGCTTTTAAATAATAAAAATTAAATAATTGTTGTTAGGCCACGCATATGTTTGGTATTGCCAGCTTCGACACAGTTAATTTAATATATACGAATATTATAAAGTTGATAAATCTGTTTGTTTTAACGCGATTGTCTTAGAATGTATTGGTTCGAATTAAAAATATATCTTTTCTCCATATAAGGCTTTCGACGCGGACGATGTCGTGAGAATGTCGAAAAACGCTAAAACTAGTGTTTATTATAAAAGTAGATATACAGAAAAACAATGTCTTTGTGAAGTTTCTTTACCATTTTTTATGATATTAAAGTCACGACAGTGCTTACAATTGTGTATTTTAGTGCAAAGTGCTCTTGACTTCTAAACAATCAAAACAATTGGTTATAAAGTATGTCAACCAATTCAGAATACGGCTCGCACAAAGATACCTTTGAGATGCAAATTGATTACATCGGGTAAGGGTCTTCCGTCATACGCATAACGTTTCTTACGAACCATTCCAGTCACTGAAAATTTATTGATTTTATTTTCAATATTACTATTCTAGAAGGTTCTATCGAATCGTGTTCAACTGAAGCAGTGACTGGCCATTTTGGTAAACATTGGTGTTCGAGCTGGTCGACCGTCGTAATCAAGAAATAATCGACGTTTTACCATCACATTTACAGTCATATGTTTTCTCGATTACGACGTAGTTTATGTTTTGCATTTCGGGACTATGTATTTCCGAAAATAAAATACGTCGACAACAGATCTTATCTTGTTATGCGGTTTTTATGTTTCACCTTCCATCAAGTAATCCCATGTTTGTTTTTTCTCCGCTATTATATAATTTTCCTTTACTAATTTCAACCTATCACTGTCCCACGGGCTTACCTTCTCTCATGTACCAGAAGGTTTAAAGGCTGATGACGGTATTAACGACTGAATGGCATTATGACATAACTTCGAGGCACGAGGACCATACCTTCCCCACCCCCCTCCCCCGGCGCACAAAGGAACATCTTGGCCTTACTCAACATTCGACCTAGCACGTCGTGGTCTCTAGTCGAGTCTGACAGACTTACTCTGAACAGACGAGGCAGTTACGTACTTTTGTTTTTTTACCACGTACCCTTTAACCGTAGGTTCTCTTCAGTAGTGCAATCCGATTCATCAGACAATCGAAGTAACTCGTTCCGCCTGTCGGGCGCTTTCTCATGCATAACTGCTTCTACAGTCACCAATTCGAAAATGTTGTTCGTGCGATTCAGAATCTGAAAATAATGTTATTACTTTAAAGTACTAATTAGGTACTGGACTGCTTGGTTCTAGATCACGAGGTCTAGGTTTAAAGAACGACCATGTTCGTTGTTTTCGGTTTGATCCCCACCAGGTCCATCATTCTCATTATTTATAATTTTTTTTTAAACATATTGGACTTCACGTAGGATATTAAATGGTGTTATTACATTAATTCATACATACCGTTTGAAACTTAAATGCTATCAGCGGTCGAACCAGGTCAAACCAGTTAGTAATCTTCTTTCCGACGAGATCAGGCAGAATAACCATCAAGGAGTTGCCGATACTGCGTACCACCATGTCTGAACTGGTAAAATTTAAAACGTTACGCCCTAAGCTGTCTAAGTCATGGGAGTTAAAACATTGCTTTAATTTTGTTAACGATTGTCTTTTGTTTATTGAAGATAAAATATTAGGCGTAATATTGTTGTATTACAAACAATTTGGAAATAAAAGTCCTAAATTTTACCTTGCATTGCTTCTATCATGTAAAATGCTGATTTTTATTTTATACTCTCAGATAAAAATAGTACGTATTCGTACTTGTACGATTTTTTTTTCCTGTTTAAGAGAATATGATAAAATATTATGTAAGGCGTTAATTACAATACTATATTATTTATACGTTAAATTAAATGGTGCAAATTGAGGTATAACAATATGTGTAATTCTGAAAACTTTAATATTTTTTACATGTTATTTGCACATGATGGCACTATTTAAATAATTTAAAAATCGAAAAAAATTGCTTTGTCCTGCCCGAGTCGAATTTTTTGTTTTTTTTTTATATACATATTTTCGGTTTTAAATTATGTATGTGGAATTCTGTACCTATAGACAGTTAATAGCAAAAACTAGGTATACATCTGTAATTTGATCAGTCTACGTGGATAAAGAAATAGGTAGATTGATAATAAAAGATATAATACACATTATTAATTAGCTTACCCAAAGACAATGCAGAAAGGAAATATTTCAAAGAGAGCAGAAGCGCTGATCGGCAGATGTTTCTCTTCCCTGGTCATTGCGAGTGAAGCCAGGGTAAAAGCACGGTTGTCGAAGGTAAGTTGAAATGTCACATGAACTGTATCAAAGAGTAACTCTTCTCTAAGTAATTCTATTCGCATCTCTTTGTGGTAGAAGTGGCGAGCTACCTGGGAAAATTCAATATAAATAAAAATTAAGTCCAGTTTACTGGGGGTTAACTTTGCAGCTGATTTATTAATTACTGACTTATGAATCTAGGACTTCTCATTTGTAGAGCAATGCAAGATTGTCCTATTAAGTAACATACAATTAACAAATATATCGTAAGTATTGCCTTTTCCGATTTCAATCTCGTAAAAGGCAATACTTGTGCCTGGTAAGATATCGAAAAACACTAAAAACTCCTCCTCCTCCGTTTACCTATTCATATAAAGGTAGAATAGATGTCATAAAATTTTAGCATCTACTTATGTCTAGGACGAGCTAGTGTGATAGCAAGGTTTTATAATAATGTCTACATTGTGAAGCAAAAAATATTTTTCCAACCAGTTCTAGTGTATGTTATGGATAAAAGCGCCATCTATACAAATCCAAAGTGAATAGTTTACAACGTTAACGTTAGAGTAATACCAATAGAAATTTCAAGTTGCTCTTGAATCATTTACTAAAGCTATGTATGTATATTTTCAAATTTCTTAATATCAGGGGGCGTAGCTCAGATGGTAGAGCGCTCGCTTAGCATGCGAGAGGTACCGGGATCGATACCCGGCGCCTCCAATCCATTTTTAAGTTATTAAAATTAAATCGTGAATATCGAATATCTTTATCGAAATAAAAAAATAGTGGTGTCATGGTGTTGTTTATTTTATATCAATTTTATTATTTTGTTTTATTAGAAAATAATATAATGGCATAATATAAAAAGTATTTGTACCAAAGGAAAACAAAATTCTTACCTCCCGTATTTGGCCCATGGCGTAGTAAACAAATCCTCTTCGTTTAGACCTATAATGCAATGTCAAGCCTTGCCGTGTCTCATTCTCGCAAATGAAACTGGGCGCTCTCATTCTTGGATAACTAAACTTCAGATATTCATGAAGATTATCCAAGCCATTCAAAAAGTCTCTCATGTGACGACCTAAAACGGATAGTACTCTGTCATAACCGTATTGAGAGACGAAGCCCACGAAATACACTCCCATTTGGTCCATAAATTCCTTTTCTGTTATGCCGAGGACCTATAACAAAAAAATATAGTAAAATGTATAGTGATAATTTAACATTTATTGATACAGATTTAATGTGGTTTTTCATATTTTTAGTAACAACATCAATAAATAAAAGGAAAAAATGTAGTTGAGCAACTATAACTTAATTTCGTTCAAATGTATATCTGGGGATGTAACTCAGTGGTAGAGTGTCTGCTTCGCATGCTGAAAGTCCTGGGTTCAAATCCCAGCATCTCCAAATGGTGTTTTTTTTTCACTTTTATATCATTTCTACATATTTATAACAAAAGACGCTTGTCATAACAATGTCAACGTTTGCCCAAAAATATTTTTATACGATTTTTTAATAATACCTATCATGTTTGTAGATGGCGTTATTAACAATTTTTTTTTTTTTTAATATTTTCGGTAAAATATAGAATGTACTCATTATTGCTGTAATAATGCAAAACAAGGAATTAAAAACAATGTGGCAAAATAAAAATTTAATTTGTGGCCCATGAGGGGATCGAACCCGCGACCTTCGCGTTATTAGCACGACGCTCTAACCAACTGAGCTAATGGGCCGATATAAAAGATTTTGAAATTAAGGATCATATGATTATAAAAAAGGATAAGAAATATGGCTATTTACATTTCAAAAGAATCGTTTTTATTCTGAATAAAAAGTTTGATATTCTCGTTTAAATAAAATCTTCAAGCAATGCGTATTACGGCTATATATATTATATTATTATATATTAGGTATATTAACACTAATTGTTAATAAAATTAAACGCCATAAAACTTCTTTAAGAAGTCGCAGTTATGACTTTGAACTACTCTACTCAATTATTTGGCTTCGTCTGCTTTTGTAACATTTCATTGATCAATTTTTACAAACATTTTTGTATCATTGTGACACATGTTTAATATTTTGCATATAATTTTAGATTAATTGAATAAGGTAACTTTAAAACAATATCTGGGCCAAAGGTTACACGCCTAATTTAGTTATAAGCCGAATGAATTAAAAGAGCTCGTAGACGCAAACACATCAAAGAGATTATTTCAATTGATAAACATCATAAATGTATCAACACCTCATGCGATCGCCCATCGGAAATATTTTTAGCTCAATATTTAGCATAACGCAACGCTTGCATACACTATAGAACTGAACGCTTTCGTTATTAAATTTCGCTATAAAATAATTAATACAAAGTAGAAATTTGTGTGAAACACCATTTACCCTATGGGGCTGATGCATTTTTGTGTAGTATATAAAAAAGGTCTGACGAAGCATTGAGGTAGTTTTATACAAGATTGTCTTAAGTAAACTCGTTTTTGCAAAACTTACGTGTAAAGAAAAAGTATTTCCAATAAGTTAATTATTCATACTCAGTTATTGTGAGGAATAATAAGAATGAATGAATTTAAATAAAAAACTTTCACAGTTTAAGACACGATATACAGTATTAGTGAAACTTATTTGAAACTCATTTAAACTACGATCCGACGTATCAGATGCTTTGCAGCAGCCGTGGACGGGAAATATTATTGAAAATCATTAATTAATGAATGTAAGAAATAAGTACAATCTCTATACACTTAGACTTAGACATACTTATTTATTTTGAAAGAAAGTTTTAAAGTAAATTTTTATCAGCGATGTTCTTTGGTGAACCAAAAATTGAGTAATTTAACCTCTTACCTCTTGCGCTGTCTTCGCCAGCCTCGCTATAAGATTTTCTGGGTAGACCTGGTGTACGGAGAACGAGGGCTGTTCCACGCCCGCCTGCCTCCGTATATCCTCCCATCGTTCTTCCCCATACGTCTGGCGGATGTACTCCGCCATATTTTCTAAAAGTAGTCCATACATCTTGGCTCTGTGAAAAAATATGCCATATTTAAAGAAAATATACAAATGTAAAAGTGTAAATGTTTAATTTGATGTAAAAGCAACTCGTTAAAAATTATGCCTTAACTATACTATTAAATCAAAAGTTCTCAACCTTGATAAAGTTTTCACTTTTGGCAGTACTACCAGAGTACAGCCCGTATCGTTTGTCGCTTTTAAAGAAGAATAATTCTATCGTATGTGTAACTTAAATGGATTATCCTATACGGTCTTAAAATACCCTCGTTTTTGAAAATATTCACGCAATCGGCCGACTGAATTGGACCGAAACATTTTCTTTTATCATGGTTTCCCGGGTTTTGTGTCCAGGCAACGCTATTCATCAAATTACACAGATTATAATCAGTTGAGCATTCTAAGGTCCATATTGTATGAAGATTGCGTGATATGTTTATTTGTGAATATAGTAGAGTTGAAGAGTTTGTTTGTTTACGCGGTAATCTTGTGAACTACTGATTCGAAATTATTTTTGTGTTAGATAGAACATTTATCGTGGAAGAAGTTATACAAACTTCACGCTGCGACTAAACAGTGGAAAGTGTGAAAAAAATATTCACCTTCGAGATGTTAATTACACTAAAGATATTGTACCAAACACGTTTCTTTAAGATTAATACATTTTTCTATTAAAAAAAACATCAAACTAGTAAAATAATAAAGTTTGAAGGGCAAGTGACCGCTCTCTTTCAATTACGCTAGCCTCGAAAATCCCTCTAGGTCGTAAAAACACGAACAAAACTAGACGACTTCTTGTTAAGGTAATGCTGTTCTTAAGTTGAATTTGTCTTTTCTACGTGGTAACAAAAATTTGTCTTATCTTGATTGAAATTTGTTTGCTTATACTATCACAATTTTCTCTTTGTCGTGACTTCGGCCTTTAAGAGATCTTAAATGCGTTCTCTTGCAAATGCGTTCATCACGAGAAATTTCGACCATCAGTAAGGCAAATTACAAAATAATCTAAAGCGGGAAAACTACGAACAGAAAATGATTACATTTTTCCAACACTCAACCCGTTATACTTAATAGTTTTTTACCCAACGACAAACCACGACTGAAATCTTGACCCAATTGTTTTAAAATACACATATACATTTATTCTAGAAAGGCAAAATCAGAAAACCCTAAAATTTGTCTTTCCCCCATTTTCCGGAATAAATGTATAGCTCAAAGCAGCAATTCAAGAACGACATACAGTGGGCATAAATATTTTATATATTTGGCGATCAAAAGGACTTATCCGATTTGTTAGGAAAAACGAAAATATAAAATTTTTTGTAGGCTTTGATTTATCAGAAGGTTCGTTACACGGAAGTGTATAATTCATCTTTTCGATCCCAAGCGGTCCCTTATGACCGATTCCCTTCAAATACCTATGTAGCGATAGCAAAAAAAACCACTAGGAATAGTGTATTTGAAATAAATATTATTTATTTAGATGGAAATTTACTGATTTACATAGAATAAAATAATTACTATAAAAAGATTTAATTTATTTTGTAATCAAAAACCCGCCAGTGCTTTCTGTTTATACCTAACAGTAGAATTCGTTTGCGATCCATCTTATAATGGCTGTGGTGAAATATATCTCCTGCAAGTTATTGGTTCGTGTGGTAAGAGAATTAATATAGTGGATTCCATTAAAATGGTGATCATTCGCGGTCGACGTTTGATTTCCGCAATTGATCTAGTAATTTGACCGGATTTAGGGGTTCGGTGTTTATAAGCATTAAGTGGGTGTAGATCGGTTTACAGAATTAATTGCTTTCCCTTGACTTGGCTTTTGGGATACTTTTCGCACTAGAATATTTATGTGAAAGTTTTAAGCATGTAAGCATTTATCTAGCCAAAATTATCCAGTAAATTATCTAGTAAAAACTATTATTATTTCCTTTATACTAGTTTAATAAACAATAATAAATAAAGTTTTCTTTCTTTCTAAAAATATATAATGATGATACAAATTTGAAAGGCTCGTTTAGAATAAGTAACCATTCGAAATATGTTTATAACAATGTATAATTTTTCTGAAACATGTTGGACTTTGTTTGGAAAAGTTTGATATAAATGGTGGTACGAATATTGAAATTCCGCCCGAGTCACGGACCTCCGTCGATGTGTGGAAAAGCCGTAAAGTGTGTATCAATTTTAGTCTATAGATTTCTGAATGTCCAAAGTCAATGGCTGGGGATTTCACCTTATATTAAATGTTGCTTGCATGTTCTCTGCTGTAAAGCTACTAATAAAGAAACGAAAGTGCACGAATTGTAAGTAATCTATTTTGTTAAGAATTTTTTTATAATGTATATGTACACTATAAATTAATTTAATTTGGTTGTTGTTATGTGACACTTTGTGAAACTATCTCGCTTGTGTTAATTCCCTCAATGGGCCACAAAATATTAGTGTTGTGTTAGTCCCACGGTCACTGAGGGGCCAAGATAAAGTTGTGACATAAGATTCCTTTTCGGACACACTTTTTTTTTTTTAGTATTTGATGTAATTAAATTAACATATTTGTAATGATTTTTAATAGTGTTTGTTAAATGTCTTGTGTTGTTTCCGAATAAATGTCTTCTATTCTATCCTATTCTAAACAAAGGAAGAGAAGTTGCAAGTGTAGTTAAAAATAATATCTAAAATAATATGAGGCATAAAACGTGGCTAGGGATTCATCCCCTTTCATATTGCCTGTTTGATAAACTTTGATTTTATGGCCTGATACAATTTACGTATTTGTGCAACTAGATTGTAACGACAAAAGTTTATACACTTATCATTGCCTACAAGTTGTTTGAATAATTACTTTATTGTCTCCAACGAACACATCAACCATTCCCTAGACCATTTTAACTTTTACTTTGTTTACTGGCAAGCGTCCCTATGAGTGCCTGGCTTCGAAGCTCAAGGACACAAATTCTTTCGGCTGTGCAGGGTTTAGTCGAAAAACTGCCTTAAAACGCGATATATATTAGGTAAACTTATTTGAAAACTAGCTGTCCCCCGCTCTCCGCGTGGAATAGTGACTTGGATTAACATTTTTAATCATTTAAGCTGTTTATTCATTTATGTAAAGACGTATATAAGGCAGCCAATCTATGTTGTAAGTGCTACTTTGCCGCAACACTCTCACCTCACATCACTCCTACTCTAACTCCCACTAATCCACTCCACATACACAAACACTTACTCCCACTCTCACTCCCACTCTCACTCCCACTCCCACTCCTATTCCCAAAAAGCCAAAGAAGAAACTTTCATTGTTCTAGCTCCAAAAACCACAACCACAAATCCCTTTTCCAACCCTTTTTTCGCCTTATTAACCCTTATTTGGCATTAAAAATAGCATAGTAGCCTATGTCCTTTCTCAGGCTCTAAAATATCTGTGTACCAAATATCATTTAAGTCAGTTCAGTAGTTTCGGAGTTAAAGCCGGACAGACAGATAAACAGAGTTACTTTCGCATTTATAATATTAGTATAGATTATCTTTTACGACACCACTTGACCACGGCTGATGCCAAAAATTCGAGTCGTCGGGTCGTAATTAAATTAATTTTCAAATAAGTTTAACTAATAGATGACACGTTTTAAACCGTTAAAATGTTTTATTTTAGTGATCTACGTGTTATTGCATAATGTCAGCAACGTTTCTGTAAGAGTTTATCAATGTTGGAATACCTAGGAGTTTAAAGTCAGGTCTATAATATTAATAGGATAAGGGATAGACAAGTCCTATTATGACAGGTTACATTCTAAATTTTATGGGTGTCATTAAAAATCAACACACGTCCCGGCCATGTAGTGATTGACGCAAATCATTCAAGCGGACCGAATGAAAGAGTGACCGTTTGGACTTAATGTTCACAAGTTTCATTCTATATTCAGCGAATGTAATGAAATGACAAAAGATTGTTCGAGTGAATATGTTTTTTTTGAGCTTTTTCGATCATTTTTATACGATGCTTATCTACAAAACTGGACGAGAACTTTTAGTTCATCATCGTACGCACAATAAAAAATAAAAACATAGTTGTTACCTGCATTATTGTTTATTTTCTTATTTGATTTATTTAGATCTGCCATGCCAATTTTTGTGAATAATAACTAAAAGAATAATACTTTTTTCCTTATTACCAATATATTTTGAAAAATAATAAAAATACTGTTTACAGTTTACACTAGCAGTACACATTTAAAACATTTTAACGGTTCAAAAACTCGGTATATATTAGTTAAACTTATTCTGATGCTTTGCAGCACGGTCACGGGGAGACGGTCTCTCTCGAGTTTTTTATTTAAAAGTAGTAAAAAGTTTTATGACGAAAATAATTCATGTAAATCAACTACATTTAGTAAAAAAATTTGGTACTATTAAGGAATAAAACTCTATTTTCCAGCAGTGGGTAAAATAAAGAAATCGAATTGAACATTCATCCCCACTTTTCAGCTGATCGACTAAAAAAGATTTCAAATCGCATCAAACGAAACAAAGAATTCCTTTGAATCTTTAACGAAAATGAAAAACAGTCTTATAGCTGTAGTTTTATGAATAAAATTGCTTTCCGTCCCTCTTTAGGCCTCATAAATATTCGGATTCAAATGACGGAATAAAGAATCTTATTAAACTTTGTCGAGGCTTTACTGCTCGTTCACCTGTGCATTCATTAAGTTAAGGCAACATTTAATTTAACTGCTTGGCTAATTAAATACTACTTAATACAGACAATTTCTATATTATGGCATTTAACATTAAATCTCTGAAATTAATATATTAAACTTAAAAACTTTTGTTTGCTTAAACGCGCTAATCTTAGGAAATAGTATAAACTATTCAAGATACACAAAGAATGTGTATTAAATAAAGATTTCCCTTCTCGCGACATTATATTATGTCTATCGTTTAAGATTATCTTGCGAGACCGAAGGAATACGACCGACGTGTTGCATACCAGTTTAAAT